AATATAATAAAATAATAACATAATAATATAATAAAATGATAATAAAATAATAATAATATAATAATAATATAATAATAATAAAATAATAACATAAAAAATAATAACATAATAATATAATAAAATAATAACATAATAATATAATAAAATAATAATAATATATATAATAATAATAAATAATAATATAATAATAATATAATAATAATATCATAATAATAAAATAATAACATAATAAAATAATAACATAATAATATAATAAAATAATAATATAATAATCTAATAAAATAATAATACTATAATACAATAATAAAATAACAATAACCTAATAAAATAATAATAGAATAAAATAATAATAACAATATCATAATAAAATAATAATGCAATGAAATAATAATAATAATAATAATAATAGTATTCAAACCACCGCTTTTAATGCAAAATATCATTTGCAGACATCCCTTTGAACCAAAAATCATTTGCTATAAGACAGACACAAACCTTCCCCCCCACACACTCTCCTCTCTCCCTCCTTCCCTCTCTCTCTCTCTCCCTCTCTCCCTCTCTCTCTCCTTCCTTCCCTCTCGGGGTCGAATTCATTTAATTTCACAGAGACATCGACGTGAAAATCGAGAAGTAAACAGTACGTGAGCTGAGCAGGACCTGACTTTGTGTGATTCTTTTATTTTATTTTATTTTAATTGCTGCTGCTGCTGCTGCTGCTGCATGTCTGTCTGCAGATGTATTTCTTTTTTATTTGGGGGGGGGAGAGAGAGGGAGGGGATTTTATATTAAAAAATAAGCAGGAAAAAAAACCACACACACACACACACACACAAACACACACAATAATATGATTTACCAGATTGCATTCGTCGACTTGTCCCTTTGTCATGTTGGACAACGTCTCTCAACCACTGGATTCCCATTGCAACATCTTCTACAACACTCACTGTGTGTACAGTGTGTCTGTCCCTCCAGTCTCCTCTCCTCGTCCTCTCGCATTCGTCAGTCGGTCATTCATCAGCCAGTGTGTGTGTGTGTGTGTGTGTGTGTGTCAGTGTGGGGAGTGTGTCAGTGTGTGTGGGAGTGTCAGTGTGTGTGTGTGTGTGTCAGTGTGTGTGTGTGGGAGTGTCAGTGTGTGTGTGTGTGGGGTGTCACTGTGGGTGTGTGTGTGTCACTGTGTGTGTAGGTGTGTGTCTGTGTGTCAGTGTGTGTGGTGTGTGTGTGTGTGTGTGTCACTGTGTGTGTGAGAGTGTCAGTGTCTCTGTGTGGTCAGTGTGTGTGTCACTGTGTGAGTGTGTGTGTGAGTGTGTCAGTGTTCTGTGTGTCAGTGTGTGTGTGTCAGTGGTGTGTGTGTGTCAGTGTGTGTGTCACTGTGTGAGTGTGTGTGTGAGTGTGTCAGTGTCTCTGTGTGGTCAGTGTGTGTGATTGTGTCAGTGTGTGGGTGAGTGTGTCAGTGTCTGTGTGTCAGTGTGTGACCACTGCTGCTTCAGCTCCAAATGTGATGGCTTTGCTTTACCCAACACTTGCTTTCCCTGAAAATTACCCACTCTTAGCCTCTCTCTCTCTCTCTCTTCTCTTTCTCTGTCTCTCTCATGGGACTCACACGTTTACGCAAGATGCATTTTTAACCTTGTATTTCCACCCCCCCCCCCCCCCACCCCCCCCCACACACACACCCCATCACCACCTCTCTCTCTCACCACACACACACACCCCCACCCCCACCCCCAGTGTTAGGAGATCCTGTCTTGAGTGAATTTACCTGTGGATTGCACTCTCCTCAACTCTGATGTAAGGGAAGAAATTTATGGCTTGTCAAGGAAGAACAGAGACACACATATAAACACACACACAACAACACACACACACACACACACACACAACCACACACACACACAACCACACACACACACACACACACACAATATTTGCCTAATAATGAATCCCTGCAGCATTGCTGGTTGCTAAACGCTATGCAGAGAATAACTCGATCCTTCTCTTGAAGCTAAATCGCTGGCGTTTGGCAAATGAATGTGGAATATTTCAGACACCTGGAATAATAAGATTCCTTGCATTCGATATAGCGCCTTATTGGGTCTTCGAGACGTCTCAAAGCGCTTCGCAGAATATACCACGGAGTGAATTGACTGTGTATTTCGTGGGCGAAATAACAGGAGTCAGGTTAAACGCCTCTGATTAGTTGAAGTGCGTTCGCTACCCGGAGATTGGTAGTTCCTTTTGACATTTTGCTTTTTTGGGAAATTATATCATTAAGCAAATTTATAAATGAACACCTGCAACAGCTGGTTATTCTGGGAAAAGGTGGGTGGGGGAGGTGAGTCCTGTTATAATATCACATTGGCAAGGCAAGGACAAACACAGAACACCCATTAAATATACATAAATAACAATGCATAATTGGCCACTGCATTTCGCCCCCAAAATACGCACTCAATCCACTTTATAATATATTCTGTGAAGCGCTTTGAGACGTCTCACCAACATGATAAGGCACTGTGTCAAATGCAAGGGTTATTTATCATTATATGCCCTTCATTAGCGCCAGAGAAAGGAGCCAGACACATGCTTTTTTTTAAAGTTTGTTCTCACTGCATAAGGCTGTCAAGTGATAATTAGCGACGTGAAAATTTCCATCACCCTCTCGCTCCTCACCTCGGAATGGCATGTGACAATCTGCTATTTCTTCCAATCTGGGCATACGTGGCAGAGTTATCGGGGGGGGAAACAGTGGCTTGTTTTACTGTGACACCTCCTGCTAAGTTTCCCTCTCTCGAACAGCGGGATGGAATAAACTAAAAAAATTTTCACTCTCAGCTTTCTGGACACATTACAGCAACGCTCCAGAGTTGATGCTGTCAAACAAGTTCCTAATGTGGCAGCGCGGCAGGAATTCAGGATATGAAATCCGACAGGGCACATGGCATTGTGCCTTCGCTATTTAATGTGTTTCCAGCAGCGAGCAGCCTCAGTCAGATCAACATCATGCCGTCTTCGTGTCTTATTATGTGAAATTGTAATTTGACACCAGGATATTCTCAAGCTGTTCGTTGCCCAGGACAATCTGTACCTAGGACTCAATCAATTAATACAGACAGCATGAGGCAGGACCTCATCACACCACTCCACACCGAGATGGTCCTTCGGAGAGTGTTAGTGGCCCTGTCTTGACACACAACAGCGGCAGCACCACTTGCAGCAAAGTGGATAATCACAACAACAAACAACTACAAATTGCATTTATACAGCGCCTATCACGTACCCAAGCTGCTGCGATAACTGAGTAAAATAAAAGGCATCCGGAGGGGAAGCTTTTTTTATTATCAAAATGAGTGTTTGTGTTTTTAAAAATTAAAAATATCCAAATTTTATGTACACGAGGAGACTATTCGGCCCATTGGGTCATGGTTACTTTTTAAAGTCACTTTGTTATTGCTGTAACACCACTTTCATGTCGCCCACAAAATATATAGTCAATTCACTTCACAATGTATTCTGCGAAGTACTTTGAGACGTCCTAATGACTTGATAAGGCGCTATAGCAAATGTAGGGATTATGATTCTTCTTATTATTATTATTTCATCCAATACTGCTAAGTGTGGTCCAGATCTAACCTAAGTTGTCAATATATTTTCGATTAGAAAGCCTTGATTTTACCTTCAATGGTTCCTTTAAAGATACTGAAACATTAAAGGAGTAAGAAAAAGTGGCAATTTTATACGGTTATTTCGGGGAGGAAGAAATCTCTAAAATGATCCGGGCCTGATTTTCTTCAGGACGGTTTCATGCATAAATGTATTTCGAGTCACCGCAGGTGTCAGGGGAAAGAGTGTACTTTTTCATGGACTGGTGTCTGCTTTAAATAGATGCAAAATTGCTTGGGACCAGCTGGCTTCTGTGATCAGTTGCACAACAGCAATAGACAGGGGTCGTACTGCCAGCAATAGTGTTCAGTGGCTTCAATTGGAACCCAGTGAGGAAGAAACTAATTATCAACTGAATAGTGAGGGGTGATCATTTTAAGTAAGACTTAAGTAAGCAAATAAGACTTCATGTAATCACTGACAACCTTGGGAGCTAGCAGCTCACTTTACTTTGCTAGATTTATCAGAATTTCTTGGGTAAACAGTTTAAAAAGAAAATGTAGAAACAAAATTTGAGGGGAGGAGGAGAGGGGAAAGACTCACTGAGAGAGGGAGAATGGTAAACAGTGATTGAAATGGTAAGTGGTTTGAGTGGCCTTTTCTTGTTTCATGCTCATATTTTTCAGCTATTTATTGTATGTTTAAGTACAGCAAACAGCCATGTTTTGGGGGATGTCTCTGTGCAATGCTAATTTCATTTCATTCTTCTCTCTCTATGTATTTTCACGGCCAATATTCCAAAGGTAGAGAGGTTACAAATAGCTCATGGATTTTGTGGAGAATCCTTTTTCCCCTTTTTTTTAGAAAAAACCTCCCCGACCAATATTAAAACCGAATGATATTTCACAGAGTGAATGGCCTTCACCTGTCCCTGTGTTCCATGCGGTATTAATGTTTTGCCGTGCGTATGTATATCCCTTTAAGAAAACTATCAGTACTTTTGAGAGAGTTCCACCGACAGCAGGAACGCTGCTGCCAAGTGCGATTGACTGACAGCTGGTGTCAGCGTGAAGCTGATTAAGAAGTCAGTATGGCAGCTCTGACAACACATAGTCATTTCCAACAGAAACAAAGTGCCAACATTAAAATAGCAAATGTCAGAAATGTTTTGTGACAATGAAGAGGAAGTGATCCAGCACAGATACGATGAACTGAATGGCTTCCTTCTGTCCTGTAAAGCCTTCTATCAATCTCTGACTATTCACACTTTTTCTACTCTTCTGCAATTAAGTATTTTTAACAACATATTTTAGTTCCTGGGTGGTTTTCGGCGCACACTTAGATATAAGAGTTATTTGGTGATTCCTGGTCCAGCACCAACCTGTGCTTAGGAGCGGAATCAAATGAATCACAGAGAGCGTTAACCTACATGTCTGTCTCCACTACTTTTTTTCTGTTCAGTTGCAAATTTGCTGCTGCGTTCACCTACAAAATACACAGTCGCTACACTTGTCAGCAAATCCTGTGAAGCACTTTGAGATGAGGTGCCTGAAAACTTTCCTGTTCGACCGTGTTTACGGCCACCTCCCCCCCCCCGGCTCGGAGTCAGGCTCTGCCAATTTGAAGCGCTCTCAGGCGCCACCCTGTGTGGAGGGCACTATATAAGTGCAAGTTGTTGTTGATGGTGATGTCCTCCTGACATGAATGCGCTGTAGCAAATGCAATGATTATCATTCATGATAATTGTATTATTATTATTATTATAATAATTATTATTATTACTAATTTCCGTAATAAATATTGTAAGTAAAACAGGTAATGATAGAGTAAAAAAGGCTTTGTACAACAAATGTGTATTTGTGCCAGTCACCCTCCTGATGGTAGGAAAAGCAGCCAGGGTTCTGTTCATTTCTGAATTGCATTTTGTTGTGTTTTTTTATTTCCGCTGTTTGGTAGCCAGGGAATGTTACTCAAAGGGGAGGATAACCAATTTAAGGAGGCACGAGAGAGGGACATCATCTTGATGTTAATTTCTAATATTTCCCCTTTCGCACCAGTCACTCTGGGCATTTCCTTGGATTTCCAATGCCCTTGACTCTTGAAAGAAAGATATCTGTCAGGGAGCTGAGAATAATTTCCAATGATGGTTTGAGCTACCCTACCGTTTGTGAGTGGTTCAACACTGGAGGTGACACAATTTCACTTTGCTTCCTTGAAAACTATACAATTGCAGTGATGGCTTTCATTTAATGCAGCGCTTCACAGATACTTAGTAAATCCGCCCTTGTGAGATATAATACCTAACTGGAAAGAAAATATTCTCTTGAGAAAGCAGAATACTATTAAAATTTAATCATACTAAATTTAATTGCAACGTTCTGCCTCATGGTACTTGATCAGCTCCCTATGGAATTCTTGGGGGAAGATATGCTTTCCTTTTGATGTTGTGAGCTCATGTTACCGCTCTCTTTTTTGATGTTAAAAATTGCTGCTGCTGTGAATGAGGATATCTTAAAAATTCAGCTGGAGATGATTTCTCTTTCTTCCACAGAGCTTAGGAATTCCATTGATAAAGCAAGGGTTTTTTTTCGCTCATAATCACTCCAGACCTGGAAGGCTGTGAGTAAAGGTAATCCAGTTTCAGTGTACAGTTTCTGCTCTTAGATTAAGTACCTAGCATAATGATGCTCACCAAAAAGGAAATACAATTATTGCATTGTAGTGTTCACATCACGATCATAATATGAAAACAAGTGCATAGTGCAAGTCGCAAATTAATTGAGTATGTTTGGCGCTAGATTTTACTGATTAAAATACAAAAGGAAGCTTGAGTTAAAGATAATTATTAAGTATTTAAAATTATTATAATCCTTGCATTCGATATAATGCCTTTCATATCAGGATGAGGTTTCAAAGCACTTCACAGGATTTACAGTAAAGTACTGTGGCTGTATTTTGTAGGAGAATGCAGCAGCCAGTTTGAACACAGTTATGTCCCATAAACAGGCATGAAGTGAATGAATCCTTCAGATGAGACATTAAACTGACTGCCTGTTCAGATCGACATTAAAGAATTCCTCCCCCTCCCCCCACCATCCATGCCACTATTCAAAAGAGAAGGTAGTTTCTCTCAGTGTCCTGGTCAACAATTTCCCATAAAATATTGGTCATTGGCTTCATGGCTGTTTGCGCAGCATTGTTTGGTGCAAATTGTTTGGTGAATTCGCCTGAAAGTACACAGTCACTACACTTTACAGTAAATCTTGTGAAGTGCTTTGAGATGTTTTAATGGCATGGTGAAGCGCCATTATCAAATGCTGGGTTATTTTATAAGTGCATTTCACACAGGACAACTTCTCAAAGCAATTCATCAAGGTATTCCTGTAATCTTTTACGCTTAGGGGAACAGTGTGATTGTCTCCTTTGAAACCAGCGTCATACCTTCCCAGCTTTTGTATCTTGTTAAATTTGCCTTCCCATTGCTGTTCTGCAGAGATATTCATCATTGCTCAGCTGTCAACGAGTCTCTCCTCCAATCTACCACCAATATCAATCATAATCCCTCTTTTGGGCTTTCAGCTTCGCTTTGCAATTACTGCAGGCATCGTTAGATCGTGTCCTGACCCACTGACTTGAGAGATTCACATTTATCTTCCGTTTATCTTTATAGATAATGTTACCTTGAATGAGGGGCACTAAATAAATACAAGTTGTTGCTGTAAGAACACCAGCACAGACCAGTTGGGCTGAATGGCCAATTTCTGTGCCGTGTCACTCGACATAACTCTACTGAGAAGTTCTGGGGATAATAATCACCAACATTGTCATATTTCATTACAGTTCTTGATTATTTTAATTTTGCCTTCAAGTTTTAACCTTTTACCACTCTTTAATTTCCCCGCCCCAACCATCACCGCTGCCTATAAATCTCTCGCAAGCAGAACTTTTTGGCTCATAAATTCACCCCTGATCTGCCAGCGGTTAATATTCAGGATGCATATCTGTGGTTAAAAGAGAAATCAGATTTTACGCTGTAGAGAAAGTAGATTATGAAAAAGATTTGTGTTTGATAGCTGATTTCACGTCAGCAGCTTGTGTGGAAACCACTGCCAAGGGAAATAGAAATAATAGTAATCATAATCCTTGCATTTGATGTAGCGTTGTTATGTTAGGATGAATAACCAGATTTATGGACCAAGAAATTGATGCTGACGTTATGTGCCACAAGCAGAAATGTATCACTGAGGCAATGTCACTATAGCAAGAGCACATTGAGCTGATTCACTGCTCGGGTGTCGTGTGAGCCTGCTGATTTGCAAGGCAGTGGGTGGGTTGTAAAGATGCGCGATCGAGGCTCTACGCAGAATGATGAGCAAGACCAAGGAGAGACTCAGTCAAAGGGAATGTGGAATTGCACACTGGGTGACCTTTACACTGAAATTCCATGCACCACTGGCCATTTCTGAGTAATGACCTGGAGGCTGGGTGGTGCAGTGTGTCAGAAAGCTGGCCTTTCACTTCCAACATGTGGGTTCCAATGCAACCCCGGCTGATGCATTGGATGTTTCTCACTGCTGGTTCTAAGAGTCCTGGCAATTTTTCTGGTGGGAAACAGAACTGTTTGTAAATCAGCGACGCCGGCACTATTATTGGTAGTCATGCTCGGAAAGGCTATGAGAATGATCGTTTTTAGATCATTGTGCTATAAAATTAAGCTCGGCATCTGTTTCGTTTTAGAAGACAGATCTGGGAGGGACATTATTAAAGCTTTTATAATCATGAAGGCAGTTGTTAGCGTGTGGGCTGATACATATATTTTTGTATTGAACCAGCATTTTTTGGTAGATGAAAAATTTGGTTTTACCCAGGTGTATCCATTGGCAGTGTATCCATTGATGGGTAGAAAATGCAGTACGTGATTTGATGCAGTAATTACTGTCAATGATAATTCTCACATCACGTACTGCATTCCCTTTTCTCCCAAATCCTTATCTGCCGAGGGGAGACATTTACTCTAAGTGTCAAACCACTGGAGTCCCTGAGGTAACATTAGCAAATTGGTTCTAATTGTGCCAGATTTGAGGGCACTTTTTTTTTACTAAGGAATTTTATCCACTTGCTTGCAAACCTCAAGTGAATCTAGGACCCATAACAGCTGGCAGTGAATGAAAATGATCAGCCCATCTGTCCGTGCTGGACTGGAACACAAATCCAAGTGAGAAAAGCATGGTGTTCTGCCTCTTTGGGGTCCCACCAAAAGGATACAAATCTGTAGATGAGTCACGTAAATATGTGGGACACTGCTCTGGGCAATTTGCTGCTGCGTTTCGCTCACAAAATACACAGTCACTCCACTTTACATTATACCCTGTGAAGCGCCTTGAGAAGTCCCGACGACATGATAAGGCGCTACATCAAATGCAAGGATTGTTATTATTACGCATTGCTGATTGTTTCCGTCAGTTATTAAGATTCCTCTTGGGTCCTATCGCGCTGTACACTCGACTGTTGCTCATTTCCAAGTTTACTGAGGTAACTGATTGAGGTTAACCTTTCAAATAATTACAGCCTGGTATTTTTAGAAGCACTTCTTCGCTGTGTTTTTAAAAATGCAATGCCTCGCGCAGTGTCCCACAGCAGACTGAACGCGGCAGGGGAGAAAAATAAATTGAAAATGCTAAAGAAAATAATCTGAAGAGCGTTGGGGAACGCTGCACTTCCAGATACAGACCCAAGGCTGCTCAACTCGAATTATGCGTCACTGTTAACGAGGAACCTTCAGCTATAGGACCAACCTTGTGTTCGTCTCTCGTCCCCCACTTTCTCCCAAGTTCAGCTGGAGTGCAAGCTAAAGTTGTCGTACAAGCCAAAACAGCTTATTGAAAACACAAGGGTATCATATTATTCAGATGCCTCGCAGAACAGACCACTTGCTGCTCTGCCACCCACCAGCACAGCACAAAGCTGTGCAGAGCCTTGACATTACATAGTCTCGTGGCTCACTTGCCACTGAGTGAATGCACCTGTTTCATAAACGCTGCGTTCCCTACTGCCGCGAGGACTTTGCAGGAGGCGCGAAAGCTGATTCAAATCGGCGCTGTGAGGTTCTCGTCGACTGCTGGCGATCAGATCCCACCCTGTTTACACTGTGGGTGGAACTCAACCAGCACAAGGGTCAAATGTGGATGCGTGAACCTGTGCGTGAACAACAGCAGCAACAAATTACGTTTACACAGCGCCTTTCACGTCAGGAGGGCATCCCAAGGCGCTGGACAGTGAAGGATTTGCACCTGAGCTGGGTGGAGGGAGGAGGGTGACCAAAGGTGCGGTCAAATGTTTTGTGTGAACTTGCAACTTTAGTTCCTTTTTAATGTAAATATCCGTGTTTACAAAACACACAGTCACAACACGTTACTGTATATCCTGTGAAGCTTTGAGACATCCACAGGACTTGAAAGGTGTTGTATTGATATTTAAAATGCAAGGATTATAACAAGCTTGCCAAAACTGGCAAGATCAGAGTTGGATACTTCCCTACAAATCTGTCTTTCATTAGCATCGATGCCTCTGAAGACACATTTGTGCCATCATACAGGATGTTGAGGATTGGTGAGCAATTTCCCTAACACTGCCGTTATTGCTTTATGTCAGGCTGATGTATTTGTGTAATTAGTTTAAGATTCATAATTTGATAATTAGCCATTTTTCAGAACTGTAAAGCGGAGGTGTTTACCATCACAGTCTGACTTGGTGCTTATTAGCTTAGCTTTTCCAAATTAACTGGAAACAGAAAATGTATTCGAAAAACTATGGTGAATTTTCCTCCTCACCCATTGCTATAGCCTTGAGACAGGCACCATCCACAATTCTAAAGACTGACTGACATTCTGGCCGACAATCCCCCAGATAAAATTGGTCAATCACTTCATAGCTGTTCATGGGACATTACTGTGTGCAAACTGTGTGCCTACAATTCGCCTACAATTACACAGATACTATTTACAGTAAATCCTGTGAAGCTTGTTGGGACATCCTCATAAAGGATCTGTGATAAGGTGCTGTATCAACTTTAAATATTATTATTTATTCCTGTGGTTGAAGTGGGCATTGGTTGTCCCATAAAACTATGACTCCTGGTATCCTGGCCAACACTTCTCCCCGATCCAAATGTACCAAAATCCAATACCAGCTCAATTGGTCATCTGAAATATAGCAGTCTATGGGCACTGGTTAGTTACCTTATTTATATAGAACAATAGATGATAAATATGTATGGAAAATACAACAGCCTCAGGAACTGCTGTAAAATAGATCACAGTTACTACTTCCTGTTCTTTGGTTATTTATATGGAGTTCACACAGCTGGGTTCCCTTTTTCTCTCATAAGTTCTCTTTACGTTTTAAGTTATCTTTGCGGGTGAGAAACGGTTCCATTTTAACATGTAAAGAATCTGAGTGGTGCAGAAATCCATCGAGAGAGGGCTTTAGTGTCAAAGGCTCACTCGGAATTGGAGGCAGCTTTGGGCAAGTGTTATCGTTTCGATCTGTGGCTGTTTCCCTGAGGTACTGACTCTAGATGATATGAAGTCAGATTGTATTTCATTTGGTGGCGTGTTGTTTGCCACTTCCCCTCCAACAGCTACTGATGTATTTATGATCTGGATTACGTGCATGAGAGTTTAGTAGGTAACTTAAATAAGTGTTTTGGATGTGGTAAGGGCCGGGGCAGTGTGCTCATTTAAGAAGCAGCTTGAAACTGTAATTAGAAAACAGTAGGACCGACAGACTGGAAGGATGAGATAATATAGGCTTAAGTGTCTTCTTCAACCGAACCTCTTCGATGACCATTTGATACGTAAGCACCCAAATCTGACTCTGATCTTTGATCTTGCCACAAATATGCACATTTCACTGGATTTATTTTGGCCAAAACTGCGCATTGCATAGTTTGCAATAATTCAGGAAACTTACAAGTTACTTCCTGCGCTGCAGTACAACTCGATGTATCTTCTCTCTGAAAAATAGCAGTTCTACATGGCTTCCTGATCTGCCATGTGTGTCCGTGCAGCTGTGCTCTTTCTGCGAAACGTGGCTGCATTTTGTCCAGTTGCATATTGTTTGATTTGGGTAGAAAGGCAATGTCTGGCAACTTCAAAGTCGTTTAAATTTTTAAGATTTTCTACCGTATTCACTACAGTTAATTTGCCATCTTATTCTTTAGCAGATGGAGAGCAAAGTAAGTAAATTCATGTTATGAATTCTGAATGTGATTTGAAACAACTGTACTATACTTAAACTACACGTTCAAATAACAGAATATGATTTGCATATTGTGAATCTGAATGCAGAAAATACAACAGGAGATGAAGTTTATTTCTGATGCATTTGCTTTATTCTCCTTGAGCTTTCAGCCACTACGCCCCAAAGTTTTGGAACTCTCTCCATCAATCCCTCCAGTTTGCTACCTCCTTCCCCTCTTTTAGATCATGACTGAAGACCTTCCTCTTTGATCGTGCTTACGGTCAACTCCTCCCTCCCCCCAGGCTCCGCCACTGTTAAGCATTCCAAGACCCTGACCCCCATGAAGGGCGCTATATAAATGCAAGTTATTGTTGTTGATCTGAATTCTCAGTTTCGCATTTTGCCATTGCAGTGTTTATCCCTGAAATTGTTTTTGCTTCACTGTGTTTTATTTCCTTAAGCAGCAAAATATAGCCAAGCCCTATCAAATGTCTCCACGCAGTTCCCGATTGATTTTCCCCTGATTGTCTTGAGAAATAATAAGAAAGTTGCGGAAATGTGAATTGCTTACAATTGCTGATAAATGTAGTGTTACGCTTAGAATTTGTTACAACAGTTGATTTGCAGGGAGTTACTCTTAGTTTTTTTTATTGTTTGTTGTTGACCATTTTTCCCATTATACATTGTCTTCCTTCCTGTCTCGTTTCTTCCTTCCTCAAGTGATTAAATGCTTTCGCCAGAGTTTAAAGTTGCCCACTATAGTCAGTGCCAGCATGAAACGGGAGTAGAAATAGATTTTGAATTATGTCTATGCAGGCAATTTGGGTCTGTATCATACTGCCACCAATTAGGTTACAACAATATTAAATTATGAAAGTGACATGAATAACTCCATTTACGGCAAACAAAAGTGGCCTTCAGCAACATGTGATCTCTGCTTAAAAACCCCAATTTCTACAAAGGAAACAATTTGCCTCATTTTATACAGTTCTGCCCCTTAATAAAGGTTATTGACCACATCATCGTTTCATCTTCGTTCATGTAATTTGCACAAGAAATGATTAAATTCATTGAAATAGGAAAGGACATGTATTGGATTGATGGACAGCCCACGCAGCCAACAGTTAGAGCTGCTATTGTGCCTAATAAATAAGGCTTATTCCACTGCAGGATTGCTGCATCAATATAATGGCTGTCTCTCCTGCTGGCTTAGTGTGGTGTTACTGAGCCATACTGGGCCAAGGTGCTCCTATGTTCAATTCTTAGCCAATCTCAGTTGGTGCCATTACAGCCACAAAATATACAGCCAATTCACTTTACAGTATATTCTGTGAAGCGCTGTGAGATGTCTCGAAAACGTGATAAGGCGCTATATCAAATGCAAGGATTATTATTATTATTACAGGCCACTAGAAATGAGGCTTGATGCCCTCAATCGAAAGGGGAAAAATCAGCCAGAGTTCCTGCTCCTGATCAATATGCAGTTGAGCTGACTGTCAGTATGTGTGAAGAGCTTTGACACATCCTCCTGACGTGAAAGGTAATTTTCACGTAAAGGTAATTTTTTTGCTGTATTTTGCTGTTGTTGAATTCAGCTTTAATCAAATTTTCCTGATTATTCACTAATAATTTGTAGCCACTAGGTGGCATTTTAACATACTGCAAAACCTTCAGTTGAGTCAAGTTCAGGAATCCTGAAGCACTGACACAAAAAGGCATTGTCTAGGGCAAACGATAGAGGAACAAAGATACCACTTAATCAGCAACAGATTATAAACCTATATCATTTGTGCTCGACATGTCAGTTCCTCAACACCAATTGCAGAATGTAAGAGGAACTAAACTTGAAAAGTAAGGTTAATAAAAGCAAAAATGTCGTTGCCTCGTCCTGTAGATCAGACTGTGGGCTACCACATTGGGAGTTATTTCGGACTAGGGGGTTCCATTTGTGTCGACACAAGAGAGGCTTTTAACTATTTGTCAAAGCAACCGACTTAGTGGTGTGGGAGGTAGGATAATATTTACTGTCGGAACAGGTTGCACCACGCTCCTGTATGCCTCGTGTTCCCATATAGAACGATAGAAATGTACAACACAGGTGGCTATTCAGCCTATTGTGTGACATGTCACTGAAGCATGGCACATTTCTAGCTTCTGGTGAATAGGGCACAGGTTCAGAGGGTCTCTCAGTGTCCGGCCATTCATATAAAGCGTATGTGGAGTCCTGTAGCTCAGTGGTTAGAGCACTCGCTTTGCAAGTGAGAGACCTGAGTTCAATTCCAGGCAGAGGGCGAAACCTTGGGCAAGTTTCCTTACTCCAAAACCAAAAACAATAATAAATTGGTCATTTTCAATCTACGACTGTTTGTGGGACATTGCTGTGCGCAATTGGCTGCTGCGTTCACCCCACAGATATACAGTCAATTCTCTTTACAGTGTGTTCTGTGAAGCGCTTTGGGACGTCCTCCTGACGTGAAAAGCGCTACATCAAATGCAAGGATTATTATTATTATTATAAAGCACCTTGAGTTGTCCTCCGAATGTAAAAGACGCTGTATAAATGTAATTGTATTGTTGTGGAGGCCAGGAGACGTGCCCGAAAATTGGCCAATTTTTCTCCAAGCTCTTCTTCTGCAATATTTACACAGCAAAGTCAAGACGTCATCACATACAGAAAATTTAACAGAGTTCCTGTGAGCTGAGAAATGGCAGGTCTGCCTTCATTTCAGCTCTTGGGAAATTCATAGCCAGTAAAACCAGTTATTTTGCCTCAGGAGGCAAACTCATGGTGTAAATAAACAGTATTAGATTGTTTAGTCGTTGTTGCATTTCAAGAAAAGGCTGGAAACAGCAGAGTTTGTGAACCATTAATTACGTCTCTCATGAAAAGCTGAACTTGTACTGTTTCCAATCTGCAAAGGGAAGCAATAGTTTAAACACATTTGGGTTAAAATTGACCACCCTTAATGCTGATCAAATTCTCTCTCAAGTGCAATAAATCTTGCATTAAATGGCTACCTTCAATATTGGTGGTTGGTTGCAACAGATTAGATTTCTGAATTCAAACTGCAAATCTCCACACTTATGTGATAAAGCTCTTCACAATAACTGTTTTAAAGCGTGCTCATGCATTCGTTTAATGCTGACTTCAATGAATCTAAAGCCTCCATCTATTTATATTGCTAACCTGTCATTTTCTCAGTTAACCCAGCACATCAGCAGGTAGCAGCTTTATCCAGTTATTCATCTTACTTAAGTTAATTAGGAAGCTCTTAATGGTGAAGAAACTGTTTAAATACATATCTCAATGTTCGAGGCGATTTGAAGGGCGGACGCCAACAACTTGTTTTATTTATATAGCTTCTTTCATGCAGGACAATGTCTCGGAGTGGTAAGGGTGAACCCAAAACGAGGGAGAAGTGGGAGATGATCAAAGGTGCTGCTAAAGAGGTAGGAATTAAGGTGGAAATTTAAGGATAGAGATGGCGACAGGGAGCACCAGAGGTTAGGGGGATAATGACTGAAGGCTTGGCCACTGATGGTGACATGAAAGGGGAGGGCAGCAAACTTATATTGGCTAAATGATGGAAGGGGTGGGGAGGGAAGCAGAAGAGTGAGGTGTGAGCAGATTAGCCATGACTATGACATTGTTAAAATTCCACCAGTTAACTGAAAAACCCTACAACACAGTTCATGCAGATGGGATGGATTGGCCTTTAGCAACATAAAATGTCCGTAGCCCAATAACTGCTTACACTTCAGCACACAAACTGGCAGTCTTACTTATATCGTGCTGTCACTGGCACTGAGGCAGAAGGAGGCTGAGCTTTTGTCCTGAATGTTTCCCAAAGTCAACATTCTCACCCCCACCCGCCCCTCCTCTGTTTCACCTCCAATATCATCCATGCTAATTATTACCATCTCCTGGTAAGATATATAAATTCAAGCTTAATCACGTCAAAATGTCTCACTGGGCTTCAGAGTTTTCCCCGCAAAGTCAATTTGTGCACATCCTGGTCCCCACAAACAACCAGTGAAGTGAAAGAGCATCCCCCCCACCCCCACTCATCACCTGCAGGGTTATTAGCCGGAACACTGGGAGGGTGGGGAACAAAATAGTTTTAACTAGTCTGGCGGTGGAGGGGAGGGGGGATTCTTTACATCATAATAGTAATAATAAGAATAATCCTTGCATTTGGTAGAGAGCGCCTTATCACTTCGGAAGGACATCTCAAAGCTCTTCACAGGAATTACTGTGAAATGGAGTGACTGTGTATTTGTGGACGCCCACCCCCACCAAAAAAAATACATTTCCTTTTTTTAAAAAAAAACATCCAGCTGAACAGGCTGTCAGCATCCTTGGTATTACTAAGGTTTTATCCAACGAACAACGTTTCCCCAGTACTGCATTGCTGTGTCAGTCTACTCTGCACCATGAGCTCACAACTCACGAGATATAATTGTCTATGGCTGGACCTTCCCTATTTCTTCAGCATCCTTTTGGTGTTAAAATCAAACAGAACCAGACTAATCCCCATCTTAGCGCCCTGTTACCCCCAGCTCTCTCATTTACAGCCTCTGAGGATGTATGTATGTTACCTCTGCTCAGTAAGCCCCTCCTACCTCCCAACCCCTGGCCCAAGAAGACCCTGTTAACTGGTACTTAATGCATTGCATTGAGGTTATTATTTCCCCCCACCCCCACCCCCATTCTCATAACATTCTCATAACCCACATCATGTTTTTTTTTAAAAAAGACAAAATAGCTGGTTTTACTGGCTGTGAATTTCCCCCAAGTCCCCCCCATCCTTTTAAAAAAAAATGATTCATAAGATTTAGATCAAAGATTTCTTCTTCTGATTTTAACGACCCCATATCTCAAGGTGATTTTTCTTCAAAAGTCAAATGAACCAAAAAACGTTAGTATAATGTTTTCTCCTCCACACCCCCCTCCCCACCACACACACACACACACACATACATACATACAAACACACACCCACTGTATGCTTAGTCAAATCCTGCCTTCCTGTGCATTTGGCCCCTTGGTAGCTTTCATTATGTCTTTAGAGTAAATTTGATAGGCTCAGGAAGTTGCAGTAGACCGGAGATTGAACCAACAGTCAATAAAAAAAAACCTCCAGCTCTGAGAAAGATGCATCACATCTCTCTCTCTCTCCCCCCCCCCCCCATTGCCACCAACCCCCTAGGAATAGTACCATATTTCTCTGTGTAGGATGTGCACCAGCTGACGAGAGGTTCATTCATTTCAAACCTACTCACAACATCTAATCAGAATGGTTCCAGGCTCCATAACCCCCTCCACCCATTCCACACAAAAAAAATGTGCATCATCTCAATGGCTTCGTGTGGTTATTTTTCTTTGCTTCTGATGTCCCATTTTGCGAGCAGTTTCAAAAAAAAAATGGCAATGAACAGGAGAGTGATAAACTGGGGGGGGTGGTGGGGGGGGGGGGGTAGTGTAGGTGTGTGTGTGTGTGAAAGCCTTTAGTATATTTACGGTGTGTGAGTCAGAGGCTTTTTACTCCCTGATTGGGTGAGAGGAAACCACCCCAGGGATTGTCAGTCAATTACAAGCCCCTGTGCGCTTCATTCACAGATTTATTAGCGATGGTGCGCTGTGTGTGTGTGTGTAAAAAAAAATCCATTCATAAAAGTTCATTCACAAAAAAAAAATCGCATCGACTCCACTCCCCATATCCTCTCCACCCACAGACCACAGCTCCATCCCTGGGACTGAGCCTCTTACGCTGAGAAGGATCAATCCAAGCGACTGTGTGAGGGTGTCTGGACTGCGTTATATGTGCTGTGTAGAGACTTGTGGTGGAGCACATTTGAGCCATTGATTCTCCCCCCCCCCCCCCACTCCCCACCTTCCTCCTCCTCCTCCTTCCTCCTCCTCTCCCCTCCAGTAAGGAGATGTCAGGGTTTGTTCTTTTCCTTATCCTTAGGGGAACGTTCCAGAAGATGCTTTGCTGCCTCTGAAAGCTAGAACTGAGGACTGAGAGTGTGAGTGTGAGTGTGTGAGAGAAGAGAGAGAGAGAGAGAGAGAGAAATAGGTACAGTGACAATCCTGTGTAAGTCCAACCCCAAACCCAAGCTCCAGACAGTGGGAGGGAGAGAGTGAGTCAGTGAGTGAGTGAGTGAGTGAGAGAGAGAGAGTAAGAGGAATGTGTTTTTTTTCACTTGAGGTGTGAGCTCGAGCTGTCATGTTTGGGGGAATCCGGCGTTTGGGGGGTTTTGTCCTTTGAAGTTTGCGAGATTTAAGTGCTGAGTCGCATCTTGGATCTGAGAGCAACACGAGAGAGAGAGAGAGAGAGAGAGAGAGAGAGGAAGGAAGGAAGGAAGGAAGGAAGGAAGGAAGGAAGGAAGGAGGGAAGGAAAGGAGAGAGAGAGGAGAGGAGTGAATGGGCTTGTCCTAGGTAGCTCGTTGCTTTGCATCCAAAGCCAAAATAGTTGGGGGTGGGGGGGGACACAGATTGAAGATAACTCATTGATCGCCTGAGAGAGAGAGAAAGAGAAGAGAGAGAGAGAGAGATTGTGCTCCTTGAATCTGATAAAGCAACGTGATACCAACCAACTTGAGCTATTGTAGTCTGATCTGACCCCCAAATCTCCCTCTCCCCCTCCTGTTTCCAGCACATCTTTATTGAAAGCTTAACCCCCCCCCCATCCCCCACCTCCCTTCCTCCCCCCCCCCCCCCCCCCCCCCCCCCTCTCCTCCTTGGGGCAAAAGAACAGGTATCATCAATGCGCAAAATTTGTCACTCAAACCCATTTGGGGGGTAAGTTTTGAGAGGGATCCCATCTCCAGGTCACCACTCTCTCCCCCAAACCCCCCCCACCCCCCCCTCTCTCTCTCTCTCTCTCTTTTAGTGCAAAGGTTACAATACATACCATAGTTACCCCCCCACCCCCACACACACCCCCCCCACCCCCCACCCACACACACCCACACACACAAGTCACAGCCTCTGGCTATGAGAGAACGCGTCCATTGGAGTTATTCCAGTGGTCAGCCATCGCTCCTCGGGAGGTCATCCACACGGTCGGGAATGCTTCACAGAGCCAAGTACAGCCGCTTCAGAAACGATTCCTTGACCTCGTCAGACGAAGGGCCACCGCCCGGTGCCCCGTTGAGAGTCAAGAATGCCTCGTCCGCCTTGTGCTCCTCTTCCAACTCGCCCACCCCCGGCTCCCCCCCACCCCCCCCACCCCCCACACCCCCACACCACCACCACCACCACCACCGGCCGAGGAACTTCCATCCCAACCCGAGGACCTCCCCACCACCTTCTGCACTTTCATCCCCAAGATGGCCAGCCTCAGACTGTCCAACCCGGTCAACCTGCTCGGCCTGAAGAGCTTCTCTCTGGGGGCCAAAGAAGTGCCGAGGACGAAGCTGACCAACGCTCTCGGCTCCTCGAACATCTCGGCTCCCTCAGCCCTCGATTTAACCCACTGCCTCTCTGCGTCCTCTCCCCCCACCCAGGAGCAGAGCCCGGCGGCCCCGAGCACTCAGATGCTCAAGCACCGAGTTGAGCCGCCTGGAGGGTGTGAGGACTGGACCCTGAGCCACAACGCTGAGCCCTTACACCAAGCGGTCAAAGGCTGGTTTCTGCCCAGGGACCACATTCAGGGCACTGGGATAACCTACACTGTGAGAGTAAGTTGTCCTCTCCCCCCACCCCTCTCCCTCCCCTCCTGATATATGACTTGACTGCAGTTATTTATAATGGTTTGTCTGTGCAGTTTTAACCATTTCGGTCCATTGGCCTCACCGATTGAGTCAAAATGCTTTTATTGTTTGGTGTATGTGGTGTGAAAGTCAACCGGTTCCAATGGTATTATTTTACGTTATTGGTTCCGGCCCCTTTGGAGAACCTCCCAACGCCCGATCATTGATAACAACGGTGAGCCTCACGTTTGATGTAGCGCCTTATCACGTCGTTCAGTCACCTCAAAGCGCGGCGCTGGAGATGCTGTGAAATGGATTGACCGGGTGTTTTGTGGGCGAAACGCGGTAGCCAGTTGCGCACAGCAATGTCCCACTTGACTGTGATCTATCTGATTTTATGCCATGCGCAATGATGGAAATCGATGTGTTACGTTTTTCTGATCGTACAAAAGCTATCAAATCTAAAGCCATATTTTTTATTTTGCCGGCAGTGAATATATTTACACTCAATGACAAAATACGCCATACATATATAATATGGTTACAAAACCCGCAGACTCAACACTCGACAGTAAATCCTGTGAAGTGCTTTGAGACGTATCAATGACACGATGAGGCACTATATGGATAACGTGACAGGGTTTTATGTCAAATACAAGGATTATTATTATCATTATATATATATAATGTATAGTGTATATGGCCGACGAAATATATAGTCTGTATGCTTCGCAGTAAAACCCGTGAGGCGTTTCGAAGTCTCCTCCCGATGTAAAAGGCGTTGTATCAAAAGCAAAGTTTTTTTTAAATTGAGTTTTAATATACATTTGTAAAAGTATTGTCTGCACTCGACGCAGCAAAAAGATAAATGTCCCTTTGTGACACTGGCTCAAGTGCCGTAGGATTACGAAGAAAGGTTCTTAAATTACCAACTGAAGAGTGCATTTATATTTGTGAAAGAAATATCTAAGCAACCAGAGACTCGGTGGTGCTGATTTTGCCCCTCCCTAGCCCGGGGCACTGAACGTCCCAGCTGGGATCAACTATCTCGGTACACACTGGAACGAATCTCATACATTCTCATTCTGCTAGGTTACAGCTTTGCATTAAGTTACCAGTTCTACTTTACTAACTGGGCAATGGGGGTGGGGAGGGGAGCCTTAAGTCTAACTTGCTTTTGTTTTCTTATCATTTTTCTCTTTACAGAAGTTTTTTTTTGCTTGCTTCGACGTTTGTCGGTACTAGAGCAATAATGATTGACAATTTTGGTATTTTAATAATAATAATAATCATAATCCTTGCAATTGATAGGGCCTTACCGCGTCACTGACATGTCTCAAAGCACTTAACAGTATTTACTGTAAAGTGGATTGACGGTATAAAATTTGTGGGGTGAAACGTGGCAGGCAATTGCACGTCGCAGAAAAAACAGTTGTTTGTTTGCTCACAAAAAAGTCGATTGTTTCTGTCCATGAACCTGAAGGAATTGTATAGTGATGTAATCTGTGTTTTTTCAGGTTAGTAATCGAGAGTGTGAGCACCAAATTTATAGCATCACAGTAATTGGTTGGCTTGGTACAGCCCCACTTGAAATACTGATGATGGAAACACCACTGAATTTGAAAAACGAGCAAAAAAGGTGGTGAACTGCAGAGTTCTTCACACCCTTGATAGCAGTATTGCTATTTAACTTGGTTGATAAAGTGTCTGCCTCCAAGGGATACTGATAAGCCAAACTCTGACTTCCAAGGACAAGACCGTTAGCTTTTCCTGTATGAAAATATCCTGCCACTAGCTGGGTGTGAACTGATCTAACTAATCTCACTTTGGGGTAGAGGTGGATTGTATTGTGATGATGAAAGGAGCTTAATTGTCAGAAGTTGCTCGATTGATGTTTGTATTCCAATGTTAAACTCTTTCTTAGGGTGAAATTGTTTGTTTTTCAAGCCTGGGAAATGAATCGTGGGGAGTGGAATACTTCTACCACTTAGTCACATCATCGGGTTACCTTATCCTTTAGGTAATGCATTGGTCAGGGAGATCAAAGAGACTAAGGAAGAAAGTATACTCCAGGAAGAACATGAGTTAAGAGTCTTCGCAGAGATAGGACATCGCAACATTGATGGATAGCTTCGCTTGTGTAAAGTATTTGTTCTTAAAGTGCCCACCCTAAAGACTGCAGCAATAATAATCATCATCTTTGCAGTTAATATAATAAATAATATTTGACATAAAACCCTGCCACTTTATCCCCTATAGTGCCTCATCATGTCATTGAAATGTCTCAAAGCACTTCCCAGGATTTACTGTAGAGTGTCGAGAATGTGTATTTTATAACCATACCATATATAAATGGATAGATAGGCGGCAGTTAAATGTTCTATAAATACAACTAAATCCAGCAAACCTTCTGCATTTGATCAACTGATTTCCGTTGACACATTTTCTCTTACGGGTCAAAGTTGTTAGAATTTCCAAATCATAAAACCATGTTCAAAATGAAGTGTGTGTGCGGGGGTCGGGTGGGGGGTGGGGGGGAAGGTGTGGGAGCTTGAAATCTACAGCAGGTCAATTTGGATTTGAAAAAGAAAGAATGGGCTAACGTTTTCATACATGACCTTTCCGATGAATGGATTCGACCATTGTGAGATCTAACGGGCAGTACATTTGACAATGAGCGAAGGCCAAACAGTTCAAGTTTGCTGCCGGTGGTAAATGTTGCAATGATTGAATGATTCGAGAATTGATAAAGAATCACTTTATCAACGAGCACCGAGATTGGTGAATTTACAGTTGGTGGGAGATTCACGCCTATAACGCAGACAAGGAGTCCCAATGTGCCAAACCATTTCCAATTCCTGTGGCGTATTGGTTAGAGCGCTCACCTCGCAAGAGATTGGACTCAGGCGGAGCCAAACCTGAGGCAAGTTTCCTTACTCCGCACGGCTCTGTTTACCAAGCAGCAAGTAAGAACCCGGTTGCTGGTCGATTGGCGGATCGCTTTCTGGGGATAATAATCCCTCACTCGATCCACGATTGTTTGTGGGACGCTGCAGTGCGCAATTGGCTGCCGCGTTTCGCCCACAAAATATACAGTCAATTTACTTTATAGTTTATAGTGTATTACAATTGAGATGTCTTGACGATGTAATAAGGCGCTATATGAAATGTAAGGATTATTATTATATTACTGTTATTGCACTTAGCTGTGGAGAATTGGCTGCTCCAAGCAGAATGCTTGAAATGCAACATAGCACTCCCCGATTTGTTTTGATACTTTTCGTCCTCAACGATAGTTGAATCATTAATAGTTTTAACCAGAAATAACAGGATATTCTGTTTTGAGTGTCCAGTTTGGGTTGAGACTGATGCTGGAAAAAATGCATGAGAGCCTTCATGAAATGTAGTCGCTATGGAATTAATTTGTGTTTATATTCAAGCCATTTTTTACAGAAATCTGTTGTGCAAGTTAATTGTGTGTAGACAGTATTGAGACTCCATTCTGTGCTTGGAGTACATTTAGCTGAACAGAATTGCTCTCATTTAGCAGTAATTGTGATCCCATTGTCACACCTTGAAGAATTTCTTTCAGCTCTCAATACATATTTCACCTATACTTCAGTAAACAGACGCTAGGTTCTGTTCTCCTTCCAGTCTCTGTGCCGAGTGTAAGCTTAGAAAGTTAGATTTACCCTTGTCGTTTGGAAGTATGATTCATTCTGAAGTTGTATATACACAACGAGATTTCTGGCATTGTGCCTGAACTGTCAGAGAAATCTACAAAGGCTCATAGGAAGTAGATTAACTCTAGTGAGTCACTACTTCTGCCACTTCATCCATCATTCATGATTCTGAATATATTTTTAGCATTTTAGCTGTTCTTTCATGCTGCCATGCAGTCAACTTTTCATTAACTTGTAGTTTTAAGAATGAACTTCCAGATACCATGGCACTAATTTGTGGCTGTGTGTGTGTGTGTATCTGTGTCATAGAATTACGTGTACTTTGGGATGTGCAAGTCAGTTAATAACCGTGTTATAGAGCAGTAGGCAGTAGATGAGTGTTTATCTGGTCAGAATCAAGGTCCTATTTTTATAGAATGGCACTGATGATTTGTGACCTGTTTGAAGCCCAAAATGTTTACGCGTGTTTATGCGAGCCTGCGGTCAAGTGGCCACATTGACAGAGGAGCAGCAGGAAGACAAATAAGTCAGGAAAGAATCGGGGTGTATTTCATCACCGTGGCAAAATAGCAACAAAAAAAACAAGATTTGATCAGCACCCAGCTGCAATTGAAATGTTCCCCTAAATGTTCACATCAATAAAGGACTGCAGATAATGATACAGCAAGTTTAAAGAGGTGCTTGGCCAATCTAATATATTTGACTGAGCTAAGAAACTGCAGTGGAGTTGATATTCTGGAATTAAATAAAATGAACCAATCTGACCTTCATTTGATCTTGTGAAGTCCCTCATCCATTCCTCCTCCCACAAGTATACAGCAGATGTCTTAAACAGGAAATCTGTCTTAGAATTGCTTGGGTAGGGGGAAGAGAGAGAGAGACAGAGAATGAAGGACACAATTTCAGAGTACTGAAGTGGGTTGGTTGCACTCGAGCGATTGTTATCCATTATAATTATGCAGTAGCATAATTTTGGTGATAGATGCAAATGCATAATAAGGGTGTGAGCTGAACTACCACAATCATTTCAAGGTAATGTATAAATCATTTAAGTTCGTAATCATTCATGAGCCGTTTAAATTCATGTTGTCCCTTTAAAAGCAATGGTGAAACAGATATCCAGAGCAGAAATCTCTCCCTTTCCCTCCCAGTATCTCAAGGTCTTTTTCTGAGGTGTGTGATGCTGACTATTCCAGAATGACAGCAACAAAGGTTATACAGTACCCTTGTTAACGTAATGTTTAGCCCACAGCATATAAAGTCAATTCGCTTTATAGTATATTCTGTGAAGTACATTGAGACGTCTCAACGACGTGATAAGGCACTATATCAAATTCAAGGATTATTATAATGTTATTCCCTGGGATTTGAGGGAAGATGCACATGCATCAGATCTGCAGGTTCCTCCCCATGCATTGTCCAGTTCCCTGATTGTATTTGGGAGTAGTTCAATCTAGTAGTATATGAAAATGATACAGCAGTGTTGGTAGGACAGTCATTGTTTTTTATTAATAGCATTTCCGCCCCCTGTCAGTGTCTTCACACATCCTGTTGGTTCCTTTCAAACATGAAGAGAGAGAGAGACTGTGCAGTCAATGTTATAGATTATTTATAAAACATGCCATAGAAGTTCTTCCCTTTCTTAAGTGCAGCTGTTTCCACTATCCAGTTGAGAGAGCAGGAAAAACAAATCTCCAGACTCCAGTACAACCCTGGGGGCTGTGCAGATGTCCATATTATCAGGGAGCCAAGCCCAGTGTGTCTTTCATGTTTCCATTGATAGTCGGGGCGGGCGGTGCTTGGAAAAATGTAATCTCCTTTCTACATGTCTCACTGTTAAATGAAACACAATTTCCCCCCCTTCCAAGCTCTGCTCGGTTCATTGGATTTGCAAACTATGTTCATTGTTTCTCTGACCAAAACAAACTTGTTTCCAATGATCTTGGAAAGATTAGGAACCATCTGTAGAACTTGCACGTGACTTCAATCAGTTCCGGAAGTGAGGGTACACCACATCACATGGATATGGCTTGTTGGAGTCCAGGCCTCGATTAAGCTTGCACAATCATTAATTGTTGTGCAATGAGCATTTTACATTCATTCTACAACACAACTCCACATTAGGTCAAAGACCCTTACGTGGTTGATATTTACGGACTAAATGCTAGTAAACTAGCATTTTACCATAATGCTGACACAAGTGCCTGCCAATAACTGCACAAGTCTTTGATCAATTACCGTTGTATTCCTGCTTAGCTGATGATAACCCTTTTTTTCAGGAAATCATGACAGCAATGTTGCAGTCATGGTTGTTTAAGAATTTCAAGCACTTCAATCTGAAAATAGTCCTTTTTATATTCCATTTTATGACTTTCTTTTTGATTGTGGCAATAAATAATGAACAGATGGATGAGTCACATCAGAGTACTGTATAGTCTAAGTTTAGAAGTTGTGCAGCAAAGTATTGTGAGACCTGATTCTCTTTTCAAATCCCATCACTTAAGAAGTATCTATGAGTCAGGAAATGATTTTGGTGAAGTGTCATGAAGTAGTGGACAAAGTAACTGAAGTGCAGGTAAGAAATGTGATGGTGAGAGTGAATCTAACAGATACTTTCCTTCAAGATTCAATTCACCAAATAAAAATGGCAATACACATTGCAAACACGGAAATATTTGCTTTCAAGGGAGTTTTGTTTGAAAAGACATTTTCGTCTATGGAAATAATAATAATCCTTGCATTTGATATAGTGCTTTGCAACGTCATTGAGATGTCTCAAAGTGCTTCATGCAATACTGTACATTGTATCGTGGATTGACTGTGTATTCTGAAGGTGAAATGCATCAGCCAATTGCACATAGCAGTGTCCCACAAACTGTCATGGATTGAGTGACCAATTTTTTTATTGAGGGATTATTATCCCCAGAAAGCGATCTGCCGATCGACTACCAACTGGATTCCTACTTGCTGCTAGGAAAACAGAGGTGTCTAGAGAAAGGAAACTTGCCTAAGATTTTGTCCTGCCCAGGAATCGAACCTGGATCCTTTTTGCTTAGGAGGCGAGCCCGCTAACCACTATGCTACGAAATAAAACAACAGCAGTAAAAGTAACAGCAAAACAGGCCAGCTCATGAAATTAAAAAAGCTAGGAATGCTACCCCCCATGAAACACATTATAAAATCTAAATCTGTTCCTTTAACAACAAAGGAAACCTGCTGTTGATTTTATACAGTTATTTCCCATAGGTATTTTTACACAGCTTCCTATAAAACTTTAGAAAGCATTCAGTTCATTGAAGAGTGCAAATCATTGGAGAACTGTGGGTAACATGACGTTTATTCATTCCTTCACTTGCTGTATTACATTACAAAAAAACTTGTTGGTTCCATTTCATTAACAGACTAATAAAGTTATAAAACATGAAAGTTTGGTGATTAGGTCCAGTCACTCCGCCTCGCCCCCTCCTTAGCCTCCTTCAAGGTCCGCCTCAAGACCCTCCTCTTCGACCATGCCATCGTCCACCCTCCCTTCCCCTCCCCTCCTTTACACCCCCAACCCCAGCTCGGGTCTGAAACGCTGTATTCTGTCCAGCGCCTTGGGACATCCTCCCGACGTGAAAGGCGCTATACAAATCTAATCTTGTTGTTGTAAAGAGGGCATAAATTTAGGAGTTAGATCACCAAAAAAATAAAACAAAGGGAGAAACTAGAATATTTTGTGAGTAATTAGGACACGTAAGTAACTTAGCGGGCAGTGTCTGCTGAAGTGACCATTTAATGGGAATCCTGCACTGGCGAAATCCTGGATATTGAGGTCTTGAGTGACTGGACCTTGAGAACAGTTTTGACTTTTTTTCTCAGATGACTTAAAATCCCTGAGTGAATGAGAGAATTGTCAATCGTTCTCATGCTTGCGACTGCCATTGGAATACTAAAATAATGTACGTTAGGTATAAATGTGTCAGCCTGGCTCTGTGGTAGCGCTCTCGCCTTTGAGTCAATAAGGTTGTGGGTTCAAGTCCCACGTCGGGGCTTGGAATCACATAGTCTAAGCTGACCCTCCAATGTAATGCTGGGGTGGGGGGGGGGGGTATTCTATTTCTATTGTTGGAGAGAGTTTCTCCCAGTGACCTGGCCAAGAATCTCGAAAAATAAAATTGGTTTCTCACTCCATGGCTGTTTGTGGGACATTGCACAATTGGCTGCTGCGTTTCGCCCACAGAAAGACGCAGTCAATCGACTTTACAGTATACTTCTTTGAAGCACTTTGAGACGCCTTGACAACATGATCAGGCGCTATATCAAATGCAAGGATCATCATTATTATTTTTAATTAGAGAAATTACATGTAGTCTTATTTCCAGTTCATAACGAAAGGGTCACAAATACTAGGTGGGATATTATTTAGCTGTGGCTTAAAGGTAACTATTGTTGACAATTGTTGTAACTTAATTTTCCAAGGCTGTAATGATATTTAATGGTATATCTGTGAAGATCTATGCAAATAGACCCATTTTACAGTAGTTTGAATGGTGAATGTAGATGCTTACTGTAAATTTGTAGTCTCCCACGGTAAGAGCAGCTCAGTGTAAAACTCCTCCAATAATGTCACAGGGTCCAGTGTGAGTCAGATATGAGATCAGCTTTCATTCAGGAAAATATATTGTAAGGAACAAGATATTGATTTCTTTTAAGATCTGCTTTGGGTTACCTCCTACGTTTAAACCTTAAGAAACCAGGATGGACTTACTCATCATGGCATAATCTCAAAGAATGAGTCATCTGCTGAATGTTTCATTCTTTCAAGGTTAAGGAAGTAATGCTAGTCAGCTTCTAGGGCAGAATATCTTTAAAAGTCTACAACCGTATGTTCATTGGCTCCCCTTCCAAAACACTGTAGTTTCTTAAGAACATACGTAAAGCAAAGCATGGTATGCAAAGAGACCATGTGCTTTGATGAAATATAATAATAATAATCCTTGCATTTGATAGCGTGACTTATAATAATAGTAATAATCCTTGAATTTGATATAGCGCTTTTCACGTCTTCTAGACGTCTCAAAGCGCTTCACAGAATAGACTGTAAAGTGAATTGCCTGCATTTTTATGGGCGAAACGCGGCAGCCAATTGCGCACAGCAATGTCCCAAAAATAGTCATGGATTGATGGGATCAAATTATTATTGCTTTTTTTCTTGAGAGATTATTATCAAGTTTGTTATTATAACAGTTGTGGATTGAGTGATCAAATTATTATTATTATATTTATTTATTTATTTATTTGAAGGGATTTTTACCCCCAGCGACTTATCACGTTTTTGAGACGCCTCAAAGCGCTTCACAGAAAAGCGCATTACATACGCTTGAAGAAGTCAGGCAGTAATGGGATTGTCCATTATGATAGTGACCTTCTTATTACTTGTTATAACTTTTCAAACCAATATCTAAATTGTAATCCAAGTTTTGTAAAATTGATATTAAAATGTGATGTATTTTTGCAGTTCGACTGTTGATAGTAGTTTTGTACTATTTTTGAAGTCTCGTTTTTTTTTGTTTCAGTATATGGGCTGTGTAGAAGTGATGCAGTCTATGAGATCACTTGATTTCAATACGAGAACGCAAGTCACAAGGTAAGTTTCAATGGAAAAACAGAAGCGGGAGGTGGGAAGAAAAGAGTTACATCTGTTTAACTTCGTTAAATTGTATATTCTCATATTAATTATCAATTCATCTGTACTTTGAGGTCAACATGACAGTAAACCTTCTGGAGCAGCGATCAGATTTAACTTTAATCAAAGGACAAATGTTGATTTAAGCATTGTACACATATTTGTATTTCAACATACTGCTGACTTACTCAACAGTACGAAGTGTGTGTTAGTTTAGAAGAGTATGATCCAACCTATTCTCTAACACGTTAAAAGTACCCAATTGTGCATCGACAGAATTGGTGTGGTTGGTGTGGTATGGGTGGGTGGGTGTCCTTCAAAGCATGTCTTAAGACTCTCCTGTTCGACTGTGCATTTGGCCACCCTCCCACCCCTACCCTCCAACCCCCCTGATCCAAAACTCTGCTCGGTTCCAAATCCCTGACTGTGCAGCGCTTTAAGATGTCCTCCAGACGTGAAAGGCACTGTGTAAATGTAATGTGTTGCTGTTGTGTTTGGTTCAACACCAGATGCAAACCTTGTAATGGTCCTTGAGAGTCTATTTTGGGAGGTTTGGCATGGGAGACAGAGAACCTTGTATAAGTGCCCTCAAAATCCTTCTGTGTTGTAACTTCACATTTTATAAGCTTTCTTGTGGGAAACAAGGCAGCGCTGGGGTCATTTAGATGGTAACAGCGCAGGAATGTTTGCCCATGGCGCTAGGAATGACATCCACTTGTTATTGAGCAAACTTGTGCAGGTATCTTTCTTGCAGTTGGCTTTTGTGCTGCACGGCCACTCAGAGACAATCCTCTCTAGATAGCCATTGATCTCTTTGAGCTTGTAAATAATTTGCGTCCTGGCAGCCCAGCATGACGCATGATGCTAATTGGGACTCACTTTATTATGCCTTTTACATGAGGGCAATGGAAGAAAACATTGGGAGGAAGGGGCTAATAAGAGACATTAGCAGCTTAAGAAATATGATACTGGGGTGAAAAATGAAAGGAGCGAGAAGGTGTGAAATTCCAGTACGTTTCTGAAATATAAGGGGTGGAAACAATGTGCAAGATGGGGTGGAGAAATAGATGCGGCATCCTAAGATTTGAAGATGTTCAAGTTAATGGACCTCTGTTTACCTCGCAGTAAATAGGAACCACATTGTTCGTCGATTGGCTGATCGCTTTTCCAGGAGTAATAAATAATTCCTTCAAAAAAAATAACAATTTGGTCACTCAATCCACGACTGGTTGTGGGACACCACTGTGCGCAATTGGCTACCGCATTGCACCCACAAAATATGCAGTCAATTCAATTTACAGTGTATTCTGTGAAGCGCTTTGAGACGTCTCGGAGACTTGATAAGGCACTATATCAAATGCAAGGATTATATGTAATATTCAGACTCAAAGGCTGAGGGTTCCTAAGAAAAGTGAATCACATCTCAGTGGTTAAAAATAGTGATCCTTTTATTGCTTGTTATAATTAGATAAGCCCAGTAACGAAAATATCACTATTTTTAGTGATTGGCACATGATAGACCGCAATTTTATCAGGAAACACAGAAAATCGGTTTTGTAGTTCACATGAGTGTATTGTTGAACATTTTACTGTGATGAATGCTTTATTTGCCTTCCTCCTCTCCCATCCCCATTTCTCCGCACACATTTCAATCTTTCAGAAAATCAAAATTGACAGAGGATTCAGTGTTCTGAGTTCTGTACTCCTTAGGATCAAAAGGGGCCATTATCATTTGATGTTTGCCACAAAAGTCTTGTGCCATCTGAGAAATTGGGTCAAACTGCAAAATTCAGGAATATCCTGGATTGCAGTACAAATCCATCTTGGATCGCATTGAAATTTTCGTAAACCCAAATGATTTCTCTTTTCTTTTTATCGACTTTAAAAACGTCTGTGTTTCTTGAGGTTAGAATTCTTTAACCTAACCGCTGAGATTACCATAGTGTGACCATATCTCTTCCCATTGAGCAAAGATATCTTTATATTAAACCATAGTTTAGATAAAGCTTTCCAGGCATGACAAATAAAGAGTATTACCTTTATTCTAGCGCATTATAAAACTAAGGGAGGTATTAAGGTATACGGTGAGAGAACGAGGCATTCAGGTCTTATCAACTGGTAGATCTGTCTCAATGGCTGAAGAGCCTCCTTATGCTCCGGTTTTCCTATGCTGCTACCTTGAGGTTTGTTAAGAAATGATGCTGATTGTTTTTATCAACTCTGACTAAACCAGTGGAATCAACTGTTTATTAGTCAGTCAATGGCCTAGATCTACTGTGTTGTTCTCTACAGAGTAATTTTCATCTGAGAGGTTGTGGGATGGAGGAAGGGGGTAGCGTGCCTACAGTACTTTTAGAGAGAGACTACAGGTATATGGATATGAATGTAGGTGAAGCAAATTATGATTAACTTTATTTCATTTTATGTCTTTTTCAGTAAGCTCTTTCAGCAGCTGCTGCTAAAAAAAAATTTAATGCCTGGATTGTTTTTTTTGGTCAGGAAAGGATGGGTGAGGCTAGAGCATTGAACTTATCTCAGTTTGAGTTTGAGCAGCGATCCAGTGTGTGTCCCAAATTGTGAATCGATTGATTTAGACCCCAATGTGCTCTTATTTTGCAAGGTTTAAATGCTTCCCTTAATCTGCTGTATAAATTGCACAGCACCGACATGTACTGAACAACAATATTCTTCATGGTGCTGTGTATACAAAACCTGCTTAAAATAATATACCTACAATAAATTTTTTACTCAAGTTTTGTATTTTTATTCCAGCGAGGGCAACATTTTTTTGCGGTACAATCTAAAATGAATGTTGTGACCCAGGAATGTGTAGAAGAAACATTCTAACTTTGTTTCTCGAGCTCCACGTCGATTTGGAAAAAGTTTCATTTCATAGTGCATCCAAATGAAGAACGGCAGAACAATGCCACAATTGTTGACGTACAATGATTTCATTGGATTTGATTTAAGAAAATGACTGGAAACATTGTGGGGGGACAAGAAACGAGAAATCAGCAAAGGGTTTGTTGTCGAAATATGATTTTCAACAGTACTTAACGACAGTCTAGGAAGGCAAACAAAAGGCAAATTGTCTCTTTTGAACTGAGGTTGGTTGAGCAAGACAGGATTTCAATTTCAGATTTGCAAGGGTTCACACAGATGTGTCGTCTAAGCTGCAATGTTCAGGCCAGGCATATTTTCATCAGTTCTTGTGATTTTGCTTCCATCACCCTTTCAGGCAGTGCAATTCGGATCCGAACAAATCTTTGTTTTTTTTAAAAAAATTCTTCTTGTCTCTTATTAGTGTGCGTGGAGGTAAAGAGTGCACCTTAATTTTTTTTTCCCCCTCCGCCACGAATTTTACCTTCTCCAGAGGGAAGAGATGGACAATCCCTTAAAAATGCATTGAATCAATTCACCTCACTTTGTATTTCAGCAAAATACACTGGGCGAATGCACAAATGTATGGTTACATTATCTGAGATTTATTCTTCATAAAATATGAAATTGAATTATTATTTTAAAAAATTCAGTGCTGATGCCTCGCATTGCAATATGGAGAGAAACATTTATATTTTCAAGCTTGTGGCTTCTGTAAGGTGACACAAAAAATCAGCATCAGTATTCTATACCAACAAAAGAAGCATCTGATAAAAACCGGAACAGAGCACAGTAGACACATACAGAATTACTTCAGTTATACAATAGATGTTCAGGGTCACGACTTGGTGGCTATTAGTTATGGCAGAGTTTCAAGAAGATTGAGAGCAGGCGTGGGAGTACTGCAATCTGCTTTCGTCAGCTTCCATTAATGAGCTGTTGCTGGATCAGTAGCTATGACCCAGTGTGGGTGATGTACGGAAGAGGACTGAAGCAGGGAGGAAATTTGTTATTGATTTTCTTTTTTGCTTCCAATTTACATGAAGGTACAATAGCCATCATGTCACCTTAGTCAATACAAGCCCATTTATGACCACTCATGGTAGCAAGGGTCACTCTTTTGGCATTTTACTGCCCTAACTTTAATCCACAGAGTTGTATTTGGATGCTTTGAAAATGAACGGGAGTTGATGGAAAATGAGGCACATCTGATTTTCCAATTGAAGTACAGTATGGAATTTATAGAGTTGCTCCTTTTAAATTCATACATCAGCCACATTTATCTAAACTAGACACATTTATCCAAAATAGATAAACTACACGGTCACCGCACTTTACAGTACATCCTGTGAAGCTCTGAATCATCCTCCTTCCCCAAAAGACCCTACATCAAATGCATGGATTATTAATATGCTCGCCTCTTTCTAGTTTGCACTGTAATTAGAATTGCAGTTAAATTTTTAGTGTTCATGTAATGTGGATAAGACTGCACCACTGTGATAGGTCAACTGTCTTTGTTTTGGACGCTTCACTCCATTATTATTAATGGAGTTTTTGCTGAGTAGCAGAATAAATGCCTGTATTTGCACACAGGGTCTATTTTGTGCTCTTAATGCAAATTCAACATAAAAGTGGATCTGTGCAGTTGTGGCAGCAACAGTAACGTATTGATTTTAAAATAAGTCTAGGATTCGAGTTTCTGATGTGGACTTTTTTTGTCGCGAAACATAGTGAAGTCGGTAGAACTACAGTTTCCATAAAGCTCATTAACAGCACACGACATGATTAATAAGGTTTTATTCAACAAGAGTGGTTTGATATACATTAGATGTTTCTGTGCATGCTAGTGGATTTACTGGGAGCTGTTACATAGCAACTATGTTCATTGTAATAAAGGGCCAATCAAAGAAGACTGCAGGCTGCCATGTTTCTCATCTCCAATTAAAATCACAATTTCTATTAAAGAATTAGAGATTATAACTACTTACGTTGCAGTTAAAAAAGCATACTTCAGCACACTGATCTATCAGTGTTACGCTGCATCATATAAATATGTTCCCCAATACATATACTGTCTAATCATAATATGCTGTCGCTCAATAATGTAAATAATGGCAAATTATGTACAGATTTAATTCACAGTTCCTGTTGTGAAGAAAATTTGTAGCACTGAAATATTGCAATTTAAAAATGATGTATAAAATTTTCACACATTGTTGATGCAGTAATAAAATCATGACAGGGTAAGAGGTAAAATTCCACTGGTGGGTAAATGTACGATGTTGATGGTGTGTGCTTTTAATGGGATGTCCCCATGATGGCAAGGTCAGTATTTTACTGACCAGTGGAATTCTCCACCCGAGAACCCTAATAATATACCATCGTGTAACAATCAAGCACTTTGCGCAGAGAAGGTTTTAAAATAAATTTGTAATTGAAATAGAATGAATCATGCCAATAACTTACGCACCGAATTGTTTGAAACGCGTCATCATGAGTTTGAATTTATTAATTCATTTAACTTTTGTTAACAGATGAAAATGGCTCAGACTTTCACAAAATAGCCGCGTTAACAATAAAACTCAAGTTTTAACAAAATAACGACATGAAGGACGTTTATTGAGGCCACAGTAAATTCATAACCCAGAAGCAACCGTCATAGTGGGTTAGTCAAAGAATCGTCCTCACCTCGCAGTTGACTTCCATATTCTATTTATGGCACGAAAGTGTTACAATCATGAAATGCTTTAAAGACTGTTTTTAAATCAAGCACTTTTTCCTGTCAGACGCTTGCTGGCAGGGAAATAGAGTATCAGCTGAAAGCACCAAGTGATATGTGTCATTACTTAGCCCCAAGTACCCCAATGAGTCAACGTATTCTGCAAATGTCATTCAGTCATTGTGTGGTTCATACGCAGGTAATAAATATATTAGAAACCGTGATGCTTGATATTTCCTGTACGAAATACACACCGGGGACAGTACATTTCCAGTGTGGTACCAAATACACTTGGTACATACTGCAGGACTTGTTAATTAACTGAGTTGTTTGGTAGAAGGGGATTAAAACCACTTAAAAGTTTTCCTTTGTTTGCTATTCAAACATTTTCCTGGCATATATCACCCCAAAATTTGTAGTGTTAATATCTGAATATGGGAGATCTCCGCAGCTATTCTCCAAACCAAGAAATTAGCAATGGTTCCACCAAGGTTACTATCACATAATAATAATATTCCTTGCATTTGATACAGCACCGTATCACGTCTTCAAGACGTCTCAAAGCGCTTCACAGAATATACTGTAAAGTGAATTGACTGTATATTTTGCGGTCGATAGAGGTTTGAGGATATTAGGGACAATAAACTATAAATCCTCTCAATTTTCATTGCCAAGGTCTCTCACCTCGATGGTGCTCACACATAAAGTAATCTGCATTGAATGGCTGAATAATCATTGAAAGTTTAAAATTAAATCAAAGCAACATTACTTCCAAGTAGAGAGAATTTGCCTGATGTGTGTTGATTGGTACCATAAAGCAAGCTCCATTATGTCTGCAGTTTACCGTACTTGAGTACTCCTGATATGATTATCGAGATAAGTGCTCATTTTTTTTTTAATCAACTGTGAATAAATGTAACCGTTTCCATCCCACAGGGAAGCAATAAGCAGAGTGTGTGAGGCTGTTCCAGGTGCAAAAGGGGCAATGAGGAAAAGAAAGGTAAATACAATGGTAACTGAGGTATACAATTTAATTTCATAAATTATGTATCAATAGTTAAAGAAGTTCAATGAGACGCACAACATGAATAAGAAGCCTCAAGTGATAATAGATATTGGAAGATTATTTCCCCTTCACAGATGGTGAATAGGTGAAATGGACTCCAAAAACAGAAGTAATTGATTTTGTGCTCAATAACTCCTATCATTAAAAAAGAACTGGACAAACTACATAAACTGGAATCTGGATGGGAATGGAGGTGATATAGGTTAAGATGATATACTTCACAGGAGACTGGATGGTATTTGGAGCCAAAGGGAGCAGATGGGAGGGTGGAGGGAAAAAGAGAGAGAACCATTCTCTGGGTTTAATAGTGGAGTGGAATTTGGGGCAGAGGATAAATCTTCTGATATTTGACATGATTACTTTTGAGATCAGGGAGTTTAATGCAAAACGTTGCCCAGGAAGTTGAGTAGGTGTGCTGTAGCCCATGATACAGTAGACAGCAAATGATCTATCAAATGAGCCGACTTGATGGGATTGAATGATCTTTTCTCACTCATTGCTTCTGTGTTCCTATGAGATAAGACGTCCATTGTTTTGGAACTGATTAAGTTCCAGTGATCTTATATATTTCCTTTTGGAAAATAAGAAGAGAGATATCCAAAGTTAAATCACTTTATTGGACGCTTTATCCTCTTCTTAAAGATTCCGTTTTTTTCTGAATGAGGCTCCATTTGCCATCAATCCTTGTCCTCAAGTCAAGATTAGTTTGTTCTGAAATGTAAACTTTTCTGGGGCCATTAGCAACCTTGATCCATGATCTGCCAACAAGCCCCCTTGTACAAACCTGGGTTAGCTGCAGTATAGTCACCCCAAAGGTATGCATCCTTTCAATGAACCAACCAAGACTCACCAAATCACAGCTTGTGAGTTGGAGTGTCTAACAGGCCTGGGAACTCACCCTGGCGGCTTTCTGACTGGGAGACGTGTACTGAGCTTCTGGCTCAACACAAGCAACTGGGAAGAAGTAAGGAAAGGACGGTGTAAGGTCGCATGCGTGTAAGGTGGTGGGTGTCAAACCACACCTCACCACACAACTCACTTTGCTGAGTTCATTTTCTGCCTTACAAAGAAACAGGTCCTTATGAAGATAATCACAGTCGTCTCTTGTTTCTTTCTACAGCCTCCCAGTAAAGGACTCTCTACCGTTTTAGGGAAGAGTAACCTCCAGTTTGCAGGAATGAACATCACACTGAACATCTCCACCAGCAGCCTCAACCTGATGATCCCAGACTCCAAACAGGTACAGAGACACAGTCCAACATTAGGGCCAATAAGTTATTAAACGTAAATGTTTTTGTCAAAGCAACAAAATCAGATTCTGGGGTGTAATCTCTGATAATTCTTAGCAGATTCATCAAATATCTAAAATATTGAATGTCCTGAAGAATCCAATGGTTAAAATATTACGCAGTGAACTGTTGCAATTACACTGTGCATTGCTGCAATGAATTAACAGACTTGTCCATTAATTCCACACTGAACACAGCTTTGCTTTCAATCATAAGTACTTAATAGATTCACATTTCGAATAACAACAACATTCTAATTAAGTTTTTACTGGCCTTCTAAAAATCAAGAAAGGAACAGTGAAAACCCCAAAGATGCAGGATTAGTTTTATGTACTAGTTTGCATGGTGACCTTTAGTCAACAACAATAAAATCTCCTGTAAATTAGTATTAGTCTGGCAATTAGATCACCTCTGTAGCAGGCATGGGGCAGCCTCTAAATCCATCATGGATTTGATCACTCTTAATCTCCCCCTTCCAGAAGTATTGCAAAATCAACATTTTCTTTTTCTTCTTACAACCTCTTCTTCCTGTCTTAACTCAAGAGGCCAGGAAGTGTTCTGCTGCGAAGCCTGAGCCAACAATACTTTTGAATTGCTTATTAGAAGGTTTCGAGAGCTATCAATTTCTCTCCTGTCCTCGTTGATCAGATCAAGATCACGGGACTTGCTTATCATGGGATAATAAGCACACTATTGTTAAAGCGGCTACATGAAGCAAGTGAAATCCCACCTTCAAACTGTCAGCACTAGCACCAAACTGCCTCGAGAAATACAGGTAACTACTTCAGCTGGAGGAAAATAACCCCCCAATAGCCAATCCCAAATTTTATAATAATGCGCAAATTGCCATTGAACACCAACAGGCAAAGTGTATAGCTCTATAGCAGGCATAAGGCGGCTTCTAATCCATCACGGATTTGATCGCTCTTAATCTCCCCCTTCCCCGAAATATTGCAAAATCAACATTTCCAGGAATGGTCATGACATGATCAGGATTGTCTGTCGGTCGTGACAAACACCAACAGACAATCCAATTGTTGGATAGGTGTCTAGATTTTCTTGTGTACCATTCTAGCTTTGTTCAGTCTAACAAGAAGGCATATCCCACTCAAATCCTTTGTGCCCCTCTAAATAGAAGGAGAAAGGTTGACCGGGAACATTTTTTTTTATCCTAACTGTGGCCAGGATGAAACTGTTCAAGCACAGACAATGCAAAGTATATTTCTTATTCATTCATCAAAGAATGAGAAGAAATGGAATCAAACTGACTTCCATTTTCTTGGTTGGTCATGATGTATGAGGCTCGAAGATGGTTTGTTCACGAGTGGGTGACTGTTATGCAACACAAAGCAGATGACTCATCCTTTACTTTGTAATTCATTATATGGGCCAGGATTTGGGCTGCTTGTACGTGTCAGATGAAATGCAAAATGCCACTTTTACCTTCAAAGAAAAATTAAAGAAATAACAGCTTTGGAGCACTGCGGATCGCATCACAGAATCAGCTGGAAGGCTTTCATAAATGTTCCTCCTGTGATATCTGAGAAAGATGATTTGATTGAGCGTTTGTTTCTGAAAATTAAATTGATGCATTGATTGAGAAAGTAACTACGGTAATTCTGAACAGTCAAATCAACTGTAAATCTTTTTTGAATGCTAATCGGTTTTATGAATTGTTCAATAAACATCACATTTCGATATAAATACTTTGGACTGCTGCTACTAGTACTTTTTGTCAAACTATATCATTAGGCATTAACGGGACCTGATATTATTTATTCCGAGTCGGTAAATTTCTTGAGGCCTCTATCACGTAATTTTATCCTAACCATTGGAAATTGCTATACAATCACCTTGCAATCTTTGATTTCAGGGAACAAATACTAAATTATGAAATGCATCTTTCCTCATAGATTATTGCCAATCATCACATGCAGTCAATTTCATTTGCGTCCGGAGGTGATCCGGTAAGTACACAACTGCAAATAATTGGGTCACTTTCACGTCGATCACTGCAGTTGAACTGGAAGTACAACAACTTTTATATAGCGCCCTTCATGCAAGATAACATTTTGGTGTGCTTCACGGTGCCAGGGCTATATGCTGAGCAAGGGAGGAGGTGGTGGGTGGGTGGGGGAAAGCAGGTGAACTTGGGTGTGGTTGAAAAGGTAGATTTTAAAGTGGGATTTAAAAAGACAGAGAGGGGGTGAGGTGGAAAGTTTGGGGGGGTGCGCAGAGGGAGTTCCAGAGGATAGGAGTGAGGTGATTAAGGCCCAGAAATGAAAGGTTGCAGAGTTTTGCACTTGTTAAGACTCTGTATGAAAAATATTCTCTATTGGCATTCTTGTTCTAAGCATTCTAAGCGCTCTGAGACTCCGTCCGGGTTGGAGGGCGCTATATAAATCCAAGTTGTTGTTGTTGTTGTAGTTATTATTAAAAACAACTCAACACTTATTGAAATTTTGAGAGATAGAAGGAAAGGGAAGTTGATCGACAATCCTAATTGAAGGACTGAGTATCCTAAATGTCTTCAGGAAGAGCCGGAGCCCACATTTACTTCTCCTGCATCACTTTCAGTTCTGAGCAAACCCTCCGGCATTGCCCTACGTGCCCCTTCTTTCGTGATTCATTGCTGATCAGCCCTGATTATCTTTGCTTGCATCACAGACACGGATACTCGCTTCCTGTCAATTGATGAATATTATTTTACTCATTAGGCATTGTTTTTCATTGCAAAGGGTTGGCGTTATTTTTAGGACATTTATTTTATTTTTCAGGACTGAGAAAGTGATGTGTCAGTAAATATAGGATGTGGCCCCTCACTGAGCCAATGTGAAACAACCTCATGTTCAAATCCCTCTGTGTCCTCATCCCACCCTACCTCGGTGACCTGATATAACTCTGGCAGCTCCTTCCACTCCCTCAACAACAGCCGTTGGTTGGCAAGCTTTCAGCCATTCTGTCCCCTGTCTCTGGAACCCCATCCGAGAATTTCTCCACCTCGCCCTCTCCCTACCTTTAAAGCCCATTTTAAGACCTATCTCTTTTGACTGCATTTTTTGGTCATCTTTCCTGCATCCTTCCTCACTCGGGTGCCCAGTGAAGCACGTTTAAGACATCCTCTTGATGTGGAAGCGGCATATAAATGTAAAGTAAGATTGTGTACTGGCAGGATGTGTAGTTTTTTTAAAAAAAAATTGATTGCTTATTTTGTATGGAAAACCTGATAGCAGTTTATTCGTAAATATGAAACGTTTAATCAATCTATTACTGGATTTATGTTGCTCTGTACATATAGAGTCTCTTCTTGTTCCTCTATACACAAATAATTGCATTTTAGTTCCAGACCCTTGTCAAAATATTTAGCCTCTATGAGTGTCAATGTTGCTGCTTCAATTCATTTGATGTTGAGTCAGTTTGTAGTAAATTGCAAATGGTAACTGTCTGACTCTTACGTTTATAGGATACAACTGATTATGTTGCTTACGTTGCCAAAGACCCAGTCAATCAAAGAGGTAGGTAACCACTCATCCCACTGTAGCAGGCTAAATTCCAATTAAATTCAAACAGTAAGGTAAACTGTACTCGGGGTGACTATCATACTCTCTCTATTCATATGCTTTAATTGGAAGCCGTATTGTTTTACAATTCTGAAACCAGCTGCTCATTTATTTTTGTCCGCTTCTGGTGCTTGTGAAATATACGTGATTGGATGACTGCAATAAATGGTGAGTTACCACATTGTGTGCAGTTTGAGGCCACTTAGGGCAATCATTAAGAATCAAAGAATTAGAAACCTAGAATTATACAGCACAGAAGGAAGCCATTCAGCCCATCGTGTCTGTGCCGGCATTAGCAATGTATCGAACTCGAGTTTTACATTTCTGCTTCATGTACAACTCTAATCGATTCCATCTCACCGACGATCTATTCTAAAGCCAAATTACCATGTCAAATAACGTAGGCACAAATATTGTCAGCTTTTCTGTATTAAACAGCATTAGCGGCCTCAATTTCTGGTGTTAATAGGTTTGGCAGCATGCTTTCAACTGGTGCCCTACTGAAACTAGCTAGCTGGTTGAACTCACTCCCAATCCACAATAAAAGAAAATATAACCCATCTTTGTGTTCTGTTACAGCGTGCCACATTTTGGAGTGTTCTGATAGTATCGCCCAAGATGTTATAAACACCATAGGGCAAGCATTTGAGCTCCGTTTTAAACAGTACTTGAAGAACCCTTCTGCATTTAACCCTCACAATAACAGGTTAGTGCATTTCAAATCAATATGAAACTTTATTATGCACAACATTAATAAGCACAACAAATCAATAACCTGGGCATCTTATTTGGGGTTTTGTAAAATAATAATATTGATAATAATCCTTGCATTTGATGCAGCACCTTATCCCGTCGATGAGACGTCTCAAACAGCTTCACAGAATATAATAGAAAGTGAATTGATTGCGTATTTTGTGGACGGAACAAATAAGTTTTTNAAAAAAATAAACGTTTTCAAGAATTATCTTCTCTGAAATTCTTGATGCTTTTTTTTCTCTCTTGTGACAGGATACCAGGCTTCTCAGGTCCAGTATGGAATGAGCAGAATGAAGAAGATCAGGATTTGGATTACTCTAATGAAATCCCAGGTAAACAACCGCCCTCTGGAGGCTTGCAAGCCAGAAGGATAAAAGAGGACTCGGCAGCCTACAAGAATAGTAGTCAACTGCAGTGGGTTGAAGGTTTCAAACAGGTTGGTTTGTTGGAAATTCCTTTGCCCATCTCGTAGCATCCAAATCAATACACACTGCTGGGAGCGGTGCGAAACAGTGTTTAAAGTTGCCAATTCAAATTCTCCCAGGGCTGCCCGTTTGATAATTTTAAATACGGTCCTTTTTCAGGGATTGCTCCCGAAAACGTGCTCCCGCTCCCTGTTTATAAGGCAAGCCCTCGGATTCGATGCGACGCTCAACGCAACTTCTACTACTAGTAATCTCAGCATCCAGGCTCTAAATTTGCTTTTGTGTTCTGTTGCTCGATCCTGATTCATACTGATTCACATTTGGGTTAGGTGGGGAAAGATGTACTGTTATTCTCGTACATTGGGACAAAGTTGCATTTTGTTGATTGACCCTGCTGCAGTGTCCTCCGTTCTGATATTGTAATGGGTTGCTTTACAGACGCCCTGTGAGAGCGTTTACGAGAACTGCACAGATCAACACAAGCAAACATTGATCATGGCAGGTACATTGACGTAAATACTATCCATTTTTCATCCTTTTTCCGCGGAACTACTGCATAAACTTTCAAATGTGGAGTTTCTGAAAATCAGTCCAATAATAGGGCTGGTGCTTGTGTATTGTTGCACTTATATTATTGAAAGCTCTGTGATGTTATTCCGACCCATAGAGCAACGTAGAGCAGGTAGACTGATTTATACGTCCCATTCCACATCACCTCTTCCAGTCGGTGTCAGTATTGGCACTCCAGTACGATTTGCACTGTTTCAAGTCTGATTTAAACCTCATTCCCCCTGTTTTTGCTTTGATAAGATCATGGTTCATTTTTGCTTCAGAAATTGACATCTGTTCTTATATCAAAACCGCAGTTCTTTAGCTGTGTTGTTTCAGGCCTCGAAATTAAAATTCAATTGCAGTTGTGCTCTGAACATAGGCTTAATATTTTTATATGTTCCATTCGTCCACACACACAGTGACTGCACTTTACACTATGCACTGCGCGGAACTTTGGGATGTCCTCCTGATGTGAAAGGCGTTATACAAATCTAAGGATAATTATTACATGCTACACAATTAATATTTCAGGAAGTTTGTGGAACCGATTCCCACAAAGTAATGCTAACATTCTGCCGATCAAAGCCACCAGCAGATCCGATCTTTTTGATGATCCATGTTACATGAACACACAGACTGTGGAGAAAACAGATTTTACTGGCAAGAACATCACAGCAGTTCAAGCCTCTGCCAACACATATAGAGGTGAGTACAATGTGTACATGTTCTTGCAAAGCCTGGAGCTATATATCCAAAATTACACTACCACCAATATAGATATTATATTTTCAAGCTTCCATTTTCAATCAAGTCTCCTCTAAAGCTTAGATTTTACAATACAGGTAATAACCATTGCCTACATTAACAAATAATAATAATTTTTGCATTTGATAGAGCGCCTTATCACGTCTTCCAGACATCTCAAAGTGCTTCACGGAATATACTGCGAAGTGAATTGACTGTATTATTGTGGGCGAAAGGCGGTAGCCAATTGCGCACAGCGGTGTCCCACAAGATTGAGTGAGCAAATGATTGTTTATTTAATTATTAATTGCAGAACATATTGAAGTTGCTCCGAACAATGCAACAATCAACTGTCCTACGAATGCCCCGTTACCCACGAGTCCGTCTTCCATGAAAGAGCAGCTGGTGAAGGAAATCTGGTACCACGGGAGGATGAGCAGGCAGGAAGCTGAAAGGCTGCTACTAAATGATGGTGACTTTCTGGTGCGGGAAAGCATGACTACCACAGGACAGTATGTATTGACTGGGTTACAGGGAGGACAAGCCAAGCATCTGCTACTGGTCGACCCTGAAGGAATGGTAAGATTCAGTGATGCACCAGGAATTCGTTTCATCGCTTCTTAAGGACTTTTTCTTTTTCGACGAGCGCATTATTTGCAAATCATAGGGAATCTTGTCGGAATTGGTATTATTACCATTATTACTAATCTGCAACATTAATTCAATGAAAATACTTCATTTTAAAAATACATATTTTAATACATAGAGAAGGCCATTCAGGCCATTGAATTGGGCCCATACTGAAATATGCCTTTCTAGGGCACCACAATCCAGATTATTATTAGGTTTACAAGAAAGAAAAGCTCCTCATTTTAAGGTAACTTTTTTTAAATTCCTTTTTATAGCACATTTTGATAAAATGTCCAAAAATGTATCAGGAAGCACACTGTCTCTGGTGCAGAATGTAACTATATTTAATTAGGATGAAAATAAAGTGAAAAGTGTAACACTATAAATTGATTTACTTTGGGAATTAGATCTAATTTGGTCGGGTGGTTCAGTTGCTGGAACAAACTGGAGTTGTCTGCAGTGAACTCTGTCGCAATGACCTCAGGCACAATGCTTAGCTGCGTTTTTTTTTTGTGAGAATAATAATAATAAGAAGAAGAATATCTTGCGTTTATCATTTTAGTTTCATTCACTTGTGAGCTGACGTGATCATGTAGCCACTCGATAAGGTTATTACGCACAAAATGTCGTACATGCATGGTAACAGAGAAACAGATTTAAATGAACTCAATGATGCTTTCTCTGCGTCTACTGTAGTTAGGCATAAACAAAAAAGGCAGATACTATCCTTTGTTAAGTACGCCCCAAAATAAATATAACTTGAAAACCATTCAGTCGCTAATTTAAATTAATTACCCCACTTTAGAGCTATCAGTCAGTTGTATGGATGGGGCTTGCTTAACGTTTGTCAGCAAGGTTTTTAGCTACTTGTAGTTATCTATATGGTATGTCAATGTGTTATCAAGAATCTGCCCCCATTGTTAACAATCCGACCAATACAAGTGTATCTTCCAAATGTATTCATGACATTAATTTAACCATTTCATTTTTTTTCCCCGCTAATTCTATCTAGGTGAGAACCAAGGACCATATATTTGACAGTGTGAACCATTTGATCAGTTATCACGTGGACAACCATCTGCCAATCATCTCACCAGGACATGAATTGTTTCTTAAAAAGACTGTCAAGAGCAAACAGCAACTGTAGGATAAAGAGCTTCGTCAAGTGAGGAATTCACTTCTGAATGGTTTTAGCCATTTGCATTTAATCAGTGAATGCAAGTCAAATTATTATCAGATTGCTCTCTGTCAATGGAGCACCATTGGCTTGAGAATAGTTTCATACAAGAGGTAAAAGTCCAGAAAAGTCCACTTTAGGACGCAGTGGTCACGGAATCACTTTGTACTTTTGAATGAGAAAAAGTGTTTGCTATGAGAAGATAATACATTTAATATAGTCCATCTACGTATATAATAAATGATATTTTAGGAACATAAATCAAGAAATAGCAACAAGATGTAACCATATATACTGTACAAATGTTTTTTTTCATTTCTAAGCACAACTGGCATTGAGAACATGCAAAATCTGATTCTAATCAACCGCAGGCTATAAGAAAAAATGTGCCTTGATTCTAATGAGTTTGATAATATAAACACGCTTTTTATCAAAAAAAATCTTTCTTGAAAATGCTGTGCTTTCATTTGCTGTGAACACAATCCAATGTTTGTTTCAATCTATTTCACTGCCTTTACACCAGAATTCTGGGAAGCATTTTCTAAAAATGGAATGAAGTTTAATACTGCTTTGTTTTGTGCCAATACAGTTTGCAGTAACAAATCTCTTATTATTGCTTTCAAAGCACTTTACTAATGCAGGGCTTTACTTTATTCTTTATTTATGATATTACCGAGATTTATTGCAAATATACACATATAAAACAAATCAAAAAATCATATTTCTAAAGGAGAATTGTTTTTCACATTCATATTATCGACTATTGCACCGGAGCTGATAGAATTGAAACTAGCAGTTTCAGAAACTGCGTTGGAACAAACATAATTTTGTAAGTCATAAATGATATCTCGTTAGTGTGGCTAATTTTGGATTTTGTTGTTAATTAGAGAAGTGTATCGGTTAGCTGTTTTCTTGTAAAGGATAAACCAATAGATAAAATAGAAACTCAAGAGAAGAAGAATATTTTTAGCTGGGCTTCAACACTGGAGGGTGAGTATCAACGTGACGATCATTTTCACCCTCGCAGTGCACTCTTGTGCAGCTTCTAGAATTGGTCTATTTCGTTCTTTTATCACAGTCACGGTTCAACTTCACAGCAGACTTCAAAGCACGGATACAAAATGCTGTATCACAGTTGCATGACCAACAGCATTTAATTGACATCTGTTTACTAAAGGAAATCGGTTAATAAAGTATTTTTAAATGCTTAAAAGGTGCACGTGTTCTATTCCAGTGTATAATTTATAAATAGAACTTTTGTGCAGCTTTGCTGCACATTTTTGTGAAGAATAAAGTTATTTTGTTGACTGCTGCCTTAAAGCTTTGTTTGTCTTGCACAGCAAAGTATGCTAAGCATCGGTACAGATGATCATTCTGTGAAGCGTCACACATTACAAGTTAACTGATCATATTATTTCATTTTGATATTTTTAATGTTGCAACAAAGCTTTTAACGAAAGCTGAAAATTATAAATGAATTTGTTGACAGACAGCAATATTATACGTGCGGAGCAAGGACAGAGTTAGTGGTGCTATAAGAACATAAGAAATAGGAGCAGGAGTAGGCCATTCAGCCCCTCGAGCCTGCCCCGCCATTTAATAAGACCATGGCTGATCTACTAACCTAATTCCATTTATCCGCCCTATCCCCATATCCCTTAATCCCTTTAGTTTTTAAAAATCTATCGATATCAGTCTTCAATATGTTCGATGACTGGCATCATATTTGGGCTACGGAGCAAAGAATTAGTCTCATTTACTGCTCCAGTTCTTTAGCCAAAGACCTCTGCTGAAAAAACACATACATCAGGTGATGATAGGATCAGGCTCAATCGTGATACCTCCAGGGACATTATCTGGATATAACTTGCTATCCAGGTTTACACTGGGTGATAAATTGACAGGTACTTGTGTAACCATGCTCCAGCATAACTCAAGCCCTTCACTGAATGAAGAAACCATAGAGGGGAGACAATTAGGACAAAAGATATACCAATAATTGCAGCCATGTGTCAATTTTTGCAGGTTGACAGATTTGAAAGCACATGGGATGCTAAGACTACATTTTTCTGCCGCGAAAGCGGTGTTGGGTGTTTTTCGCCCAGCAATAATCGTACCCCACAATATCTAAAACAACATCTTGGGAAACCTCATGGAAGGAGACTTTCTCCCAACGTCCCGGCCAACAATTTTCCATTTGAAATTATAATACTCGAATTTGAAACATCGGGTAAAATTCCAATTGGGTCGAGATTTGCTCTTATCAATGGAGCATTTTAGATCGTCCAGAATTTGATAAATGGTTGAACTCAGTCTTAACTTTGAAGCCAATTTTCTGTAGTTTCTTGAAAGGACATACAGAAAAACGGCATAAAAATTAAGATGTATTTTACTAAATTGCAATACTTATAGACACTGAAATAATAAGTAAATAGAGTAGATCTGTGGGTAGATCTGTGCAGTCCTGTAGCTCAGTGGTTAGAGCACTCGCTTTGCAAGTGAGAGACCTGAGTTCAATTCCAGGCAGAGGGCGAAACCTTGGGCAAGTTTCCTTACTCCACACACCTAATAATAATCCCTCCAAAAAACAAAACAATAATAATAAATTGGTCATTTTCAATCTACGACTGTTTGTGGGACATTGCTGCGCGCAATCGGCTGCCGCGTTCGCCCACAAATATACAGTCAATTCACTCTACAGTGTGTTCTGTGAAGCGCTTTGGGACGTCCTCCCGACGTGAAAAGCGCTATATCAAATGCAAGGATTATTATTATTATTATTATCGAGTTGCCGCACTTTACTTATAAGACATCTTGAGACATTTAGGTGCCGTATAGCATGCAACAATGATTATTATGTACTAATTATAACAGAAGTGTCTCCCTCTAGGGAAAAATATAATTTATTGCAATCTACATGGCATATTGATGCGCTGTCTGTCCTGCACATTGCATGGCATCCAAGGACGTGCTTTAGTGAATGATTATTGCGATGTATTGGACGGTTACAATAACGTCTTCTAAAGTACTGCGGAAATCAGGTTTCAATGAACGGCAGAGAATCAAAAGGTTGAAGTTTCGCCTCGAATGCATGAATGCAAACCAGATTCACATCAGGGCAAAGAAATGTTCCTTTGGGCTCTCTTGACACATCTTGTTGCATATAACAAACACAGTTTGTTTCGACGTTCGGCTTTTATCCCAAATTCTCGACATTATGAATAATAATTATTGCAATAATAAGCGATAATACTGTCGTTGTTTTAATTTCTGGAAAAACTTGGGAGTGACGAAGGATAGTAAGATGAAGGCGAAGCATACAATAACGTAGGCAAACCCACAATAGTTAATAGTAATATAAAAAAATTGGAATCATTATGAATAACCGAAATGTGTCTGTCGCCCAAAGTGGCCAATTTAGGTGACCGCTTTTGGAACTGTGTGCGACAAGGTTTTCAAAGGAAAAAAAAACCAAACGGTTTTGCAGGTTTAAATTAAATGAAGTGAAAAAAAAAAAATTTTTTATATAAAAATGAAAATTAGGCACCCGCCCAAAGCCGTTGTTTCACGCACACCGTGGAACATAAACCCGCCCAATTGGGCGTGAACCCGCCCAATCCGACGGACCAATCGGCGGCCGCGCTCTTTCCCGCTCGGCTTCGCGGCCGCTCGAGCGCCGGGGATTTTCGAAACTAACGGCAGCGCCGCGCAACCCAACCTGCTACCGGAAGTCCCGCCTTCCCCGACCCCCCCATCCGCGCGCTCCTGATTGGTGGGTTGTCCCTTACGCCCGCGCCCATCGCCGGCGGAGGGGGGATTGCGATTGGCTGAGCTGGGTGTCACGTTGACGCGCGCCACCCATCGGGTTAGGTGGAGCCGGAAGTGGTTGTTACTATGGTGGTGCTACTGCTGCTGCCGCTGCCGTGAGGTGGGGGGAAGACGATAGGAAACAACAGGGAGGAATATTCGGTCTGGGCCGAGATCCGTTGCAGCCTTTCGGAGAACATGACAAGCCTGGAGGCCGCGCTGTAGCTGGTGAGTGCGAGGAGTTTTGGTGGGTTTGATTGTGTGGCGAGAGAAGCAGACGAGAGACAGAGAGAGAGAGAGGAAAAAAACAACATCTTTGACAGGCGTCTAAGGTGCTGAAATAAATCAATATCATTATGATATATCTATATATATATATGATATGATATGTGTGTATCATACACGTAACGTATCGGTGGAGTCCTCTATGAGCTGTGCCACTGAAGAGTGGTCGCTGTTGAGAGGTACCAGTAGTAGTGTAGTTATAATAATAATAATAATAATAATAATCCTCGCATTTGATATAGCGCTTTTCACGTCGGGAGGACGTCCCAAAGCGCTTCACAGAACACACTGTAAAGTGCATTGACTGTACGTTTGTGGGCGAACGCGGCGGCCAATCGCGCACAGCAATGTCCCGCAAACAGTCGTAGATTGAAACGGACCAATTTGTCATTGTGTTTGGTTTTTTTTGGAGGGATTATTATTATTTAGTCTTGAATGAAGAGGGAACGGTTGGAATCCCGCCTGAACCTCCCGTAAACCTTTTCATCCGTTCATTCAATCCGTAAAGAAACCCCGTTTCTGGGTGAGAGGGGCCAGGAGTTCAGGTGAGGGCAGAGATTGCAGACCTCCAACAAGCGGCGTCCGGGCTTCCTCTCAGCGAACCTGTCCCTGTACCACAGCGGTTAGAGCACTCGCCTCGCAAACGAGAGGACCTGGATTCAATAATTATTATTATATTATTATTATTATTATTCCATTCCCGGGCAGGGCGAAAGCTTAGGCAAGTTTTAGGAACCCGGTTGTTAGTCAATTGGCAGATCGCTTTCCAAGGGTAATAATCTTTTTTTTTAACCAAACATTTTTTTAAAGGAAACTCAATCCACGACTGTTTGTGGGACGCTGCCGTGCGCAATGCGCCGGCCGTGTTTCGCCCACAAAATATACGGTCGATTCACTTTGTGGTGTATATATATATATCCTGTGAAGCGCTTTGAGACGTCTCGAAGATGTGATAAGGCGCTGTATCAAATGCAAGGATTATTATTATTGCTATTATTATAACGTTCGCGTAACGTAGGACAGCTCTGCAAAGGCTCATCATTCAGTCCAGGCGCCATTCACTCATGAGCTACATACATGGAGTGTCCTGGCTGTCGGTTAAAATATAAAGCCTGACCTTTTAACTATAACATTACAAAAGAACACTGCCACGACCTACTGGATAATGGCAATTAAATCGACTGCCTGAGACAAGCTGGCCAAGAATTGTTTGGTGGACCACAGCTGTCAAATCCATGTGCTGTTCAGTCACTGCTGCACTCAGTGAGCATCAGCCCAGGATGATACATAGTAGTAATGATGATAATAATAATAATCCTTGCATTTGATATAGCGCTTATCACGTCTTCCAGACGTCTCACAGCGCTTCACAGGATATACTGTAAAGTGAATTGGCTGCATTTGAAGGCGAAACGTGGCAGCCAATTGTGCACAGCATACACAGGGATATACATATACATTCACAGGAAAGCATTTGGCTTTCCCAGCAATGCGGTGAAATTATACACATTTTAATATATATATATATATAATATATATGTATGTGTATATATGTTTGCCTGGATTTAGGTGATAACATTTTTGAATTGGGCTTCACTCCACGTCCTTTATAACTGTTTGAAGCAATATCGTTTTTCATTCCTGCAGTACGGATTCAACATTGCACTCTGTAATCAAAGCTCATAGATCAGATAATAGCTATACATAAAATGAATGGATTGATGATGCCAAGTGATTGTTTGATATTTATAAAGGAGAGAATCTGTCAAGACAATCTGAAACAAGTATGTCGGGCATAGAGAGTGAACAAAGGAGATTTACTAGAGTGATACCAGGGATGAGTGGCTTGACATAAGCAGATGATAAAGAAACCTGTGGTTAGGAATTACATTTTTTTTAACTTTATTGCATTTGCTATTAGGTTATCTTGCGCACTCAAGATGTCTATAGATTTTGACAGTGGAGCTTTAGCGATCCAACATGAAGAGGAGGTATATGATCAGGAGGACTATGAACGGGAGCAAGAGGTAAAACCAAACGCCTAGTTGTTGCATGATTTCATGAGACTATAAATAAGGTGTGGATGAAGAAACTATGACATCTCAAATCTCAGTTTAATATTTTCTGTTTTTTACAAAAGTGTATATATTTTTTTTGAAAAAAAGCTCAACAAGTAAAAGAAAAACAGAAAGTTTGGAACCCTGTGTTTTTCCTTTATTTTTATGGAACTTGATAGTGGAAAAGTTGTGTTTTAATTGATAAACATGCTGTACTGTTTTATTTTAATTTTGTGGCACTCTTATCCTTATAGTTGCATCAGTTACTGACTGATCTCCCAGATGACATGCTGGAGGACAGCAGAGATATTTCTTCTCCAGAGCTTAATTACTCTGGCTGTAGTGCCAATAGCGGCACTGGAAGGTGAGAAGGTTCCACTTATTATGATCTCCACAATCTATGCATTATGGTTGAATATGAAATTGCTCCCCATAATGAAATAATCTACCAACACTGTCTAGATTCCACATGAAGAATAGCTATTTGAGCAAGATAATAATAATAATCCTTGCTTATAGCACCTTGCATGTCGGGAGAACGTCCCAGAGCGCTTTACAGGATTTACTGTGAAGTGGAGTCACTATTTGTGGGCGAATATGGCCTCAAAAACACAATAAAAAACAAAATGAAAATACAGAATAGCTGAAAACAAATGTATAATCTGTTACACATGACAAGTGATCTCTTTGTTCTAGAGTTCAGCAAACATGGGAGCAAAAGCAAGACTGGAGTCGTCATCAGGAAGTAAGCAGCAACCCTGGAGCCAAAGATGCATGTTTCACTACAGATTATACACTGCACAATGGTCATAACGGAGTACGTGAAGTATTTCTAGCTAATTTGTTTGCTTTTTACTTTACAGAATTTTCATTCAGTAGATCTAGTTAAAATTGATACTGGTTCTATACTGGTTTTGCCATAGATATAAGAACAAGACAATAGTGCCAGCTCTCTTGTTTTGTGTTGTTTTCATTTTTCTGAAAGCGTGAGCATGTGATTTAATTAAATTTAAATTCTTATTTTGTTTGCTTAGATTTTGTCAAAAGTGTAATTTCTTGAATTCCCGTCAGTCCGGTTCTGCTTCCTCTATGCTAAGGAACAGTCAATGCTCATTATATAAAGTTATGTTTTCTAATGCTGATGAACAGTTTTGTTGCAAATGTATTCAGGTACTTATCCTTTAATCCTTTAATTATCCTTTTAAATTTCGGGGACTAGGAATATGACGATCACTATGGATGTGACCAGTACCAAACTGACTATATGTATAATCAAGAAGATGAGCAAGTGAAAGAGCATGAACCTCAGGTAGATAATGAATTGCAGCATAACAGATGGAGCGACAGCCACAAGTTAGAGGAACACCAGTGCACATACGAAAAGGGGGGCTACAGTTTCCCTCATGCAAATTCTAATGAAGCCCCTGGTGAGAACTGTATGAATGGAGACAGCTATGAATCGGACTATTACCATCTACCTAATTCCTATCTTCAAGCTGGAGGCTACAATAATGGAATCTGCAAAAGTAATGGACAAAATGGGTTCGGTAATCACCTGGGGAAAATACCAGATTACCATCCAAATCAAAGGGTTTTACAGGTATGATGTCTTTCTTGCAAATTTGCTTCAGTTTTAAATCTCTTTTCATTTGCCAACTGCAACATTCAGTCAAATTTTGATGTTTTTATTTCCTGGTGAGCTATCAATATGGAGAGACCTGATATTGTAACAACAGCAGATTTACAAACTGAGTGGCAATACTGCATGCAGTTGATTATCAGAAAATAAATCAATATAAAATGGATGCCTTGACCAATTGCCATAATTCCTGCAACTGACAGAGGAGCAAACATAAAACCAAACTGCTGTATCAAGATAACTGCAGAGATTATACAGAATAACTGTTACAACTGTTGTTATTACTATAAGTAATCTTATCTTGGAATTAAGTTGATGGTTTTAATGTAAAATTGTTTTTTTTTCCTTGCAGCATTTCATTGCACCTGAACATGCTGCTACTGAAACTCCAGATTCATACAAAGTAAAGTATAACCCCTATCCTGCTGCTCATCCACCAAGAGGGAATTTTAATCCAGATGAAACAAAAGAGGCCGACAAGGGATTTGATCAAATGCAGAAAGACTTCTTGAATACAGGCGAAAGTAAGAAATAGTTAACTGAATTTATCCTGAATCACTACATGATTACATGCTGTGGTGCATATTAAATTATTGCAGAATGTAAAATTAATATAAGAATATTATTAATAATATATTACTAGAGAGTGAAAAGTTACACTTATTCCTGATGATTAAGTGATCTGGATAATTAACAGACAATTTAGAGTTTTTGAACAATGGGTTGATTGTATGGAAGTTCAATTACAGTAAATAGTATCCTTCTCAGACTCTTAAACAGTCATTGAAGGACAGCTCAACCAAACTTAGTTTACTTAGGATTCAAGTATTGTTAGAATTCATTTACGCTTATCTGAACAAACAGTTAAACTGAACTATTTGGATTGAAATAAGTTAGTATTGCTTTTCCTGGTTCGCATAGTGCCTTGTGGTGGACTGAAAGATTTGATCCATACTTTTCAATCTAGCTACATACTGCTAATAATGAATAATTGTAAGTATTTTACAAGTGGAACAAAAAACAATAAGAAATTTGGGGGAAAGAGCTGGAAAGTGGGATCAGTACAAAGAGCAGTAATACAGGTACGATGAACCTACTAGGTTCCTTCTGAACTGGAAAAAATGTGTTTCTATTAGTAATAGTAATAATAATAATATTGTTTGCTTCCTACAGGTTCTGCAGAAGCCCATCAGTTTGCACAGCTGCAGATTTTATACAATGCACGAGGAAGGCAGTTAGATGAACTGCAACAAAAACTGGAAGAGCGCGCCCGTGATATCCGATACTTGAATCACCAACTTGCCATAGTCAAAGGTAAGAATTCCAATTATACCATATCCCATTATGACAATAGTACTTGACGGTGCAGGCTAGAAGGGTTTTGTGTCTTTTCCCTTGTTGACAAATTTCAGCTGGGTTGGCATTGGAGGAATGTGCTTTTACAATAAGTCTTGGAATTACTGGGTTAGAGAAAGCAAAAGAAAAGCAGCCATCAATCTTTGGTCCTGATCAGTATGCAGTGACTTCTGTTGGACATTCAAGTATTCATGTATCAACTCTGAATGCAAAGGGTACATTTGTAACTTGCCTTCACCATATTACTGAATTATTCCTTAGACAATTATAGTTTGTAAGAGATGTATATTTGATTTTGCAAGCACGATCCAGCGAATGTATAAGCTAAACGTATTGCCTGAGTTTCCTTTCGCAAACAATAACATCTAGATGAAGACATTTTCTGGACTCTGGAGTTTTATTTGAACTTTCCCAACTTGCAATTAACCATTTTGTAAATGTTACAAACAAAACAGCTTCTTCAAATAGCTAATGTTACACTGAAATAGATTGGTGAATATTGCTTTAAAGTAGTTGTAGAACTACTGTTTTCACAAGAATACAATTTGCTGTGGAAGTTAGGAAGGTGAATTTGTGTACTCTAAGTTAAAATCTATATTTGTGTTGGGTAAACTACAGTGTACATAAGCTGGGAAAAGGTGATTTGCACTCCAAAATATGAAGTGGAATATCCAAATAAGTAAATCTTTCACTGAGCAGTACTGTTTTGCAGGAGAAAAAGATGGCTTGGCACTTCGTTCTCAAAATTCTCAGACATTGCTTCAAGACGCAAAGGAGCTTGAAGTTAAACTTCAAGGAGAAATTAAGGCTTTGGAGGCAAAAGTTCAAGGCCTGACTATCAGTGAAGAGGAGGCAAGCATAAAGAATATGTTTTTTCAAGATTTCTGTTGCCTTGTATTTTCTGCCCAAGGGAAAAGAAACTCACAGTGTCTGCTATTATTTGGGCTTTCTGCTAGCGGCCTTACCTTTGACTTGAAATTAATTAAATAAAATTGGCTTGAACTGAACTACAAAGGAGTCTTTTGCCACTTGCATTCTGCATTATGTTGTTTCGCGGGGGCTTCTTTGCTAACTACAGTTATCTTTCATAATAATAGTCTCAATTTGCTTATTAGGATGGAGATATATTTAGCTTAAGTGGTTGTTACTCACTCATTTTTCCTCTCAATTCAGTCAATGAAAAACATGAAGATTGCTGAGGCAGCCATGGACAGTATGCAACAGCAGATGCTTGAGCTACGGCGTTCAGAATCTCTTACACGAGCCAGAGAACAACATGACAACGTCATTGGTGTACTTAAGCAAAAACATGATGAGACCATCTTAGCGATGCAACAGAAACTCGATGCAGCTTGTAGTGCCTTGGAAGAACAGGTCATAGTCCATTAAATTTGACTGCATTATACTTTACTGATATTACAACGAGGTTCTCAATAGGATGGCAGTTGTACAGTTGAAAATGAAAAATAGTGAATTAATTGCTTTTTCTTGTCTTTTTTTAATCAGAAGGACAATTGTAAACGACTTGAGGAGCAGGTGAAGCAGTTGGAACGACAACAGGAAGAAGCCAAGTTGGAAAAAGCAGAAATAATCAATGGGCTGACAAAGAGCTTAGAAGCCAGTCAGCTGCAGTGCAGGGAGTTACTGCAGACAGGTTAGGACCCCACAACTATAGTTCAGAATCAAAATAGATTTTAAAAGCAGATGAGTGTAATTTCTATTCTCCCAGGGCCACTAGAATTTTTTTTTATTCATCTACAGCCTGAAATGCCCACTGTCACAACCGTCACTTTTACCTGTTTCGTTGGTGTTGCAAATCCTTTGTGATTGGCTGAATGGAGGGTACAGTCTCCAATTCACTTTATTCTTTCCCTCAGAAGGGATGAAGACAATTATTTAAATCAAAGTTTTTGAGAAGAATAAACACTTAATTTGTCTCTTCTTGTCCCCGTTGGTGTTCCTTGGTGTATAAATATTGCCATTGTTAAGTGCTCAGACATTGCCCTGCATGAAGGGCACTATATGAATGCTTGTTGTAGATGGCGGTGGTGGTTCCAGCATTCACTTTGTAGGTATGATATAAATGACATACCTAACTCTGAAAACAAACTACGCTTTCTTGTGTGTGTTTAATAAGGTTCAATGCAGGAGATCACCCAGCTTAGGATCAAACTTCAACAAGTTCAATCTGCCAAGAAAATCAGTGACAGCATGAACAAGGCTTTACAGGTGAGCTGTGACTTGGTATTTTTGTTTTTGTCCAAAATGAATTGCTCTGAACACTAGCATAATTTGTGATCAATGCTTGCAACTGTGGATGTTGTAAAAATAACAAGGGGTTCAGTTTTCTGTGTATTTCAATGGGTTTGAACAAAATTCCAGGAAATGAGGGAGAGATCGAGGGTGATGAGAATGACATAGGCATAGAAAATGAGAGAAAATTCACAGAAAGTAAGAAAAATAATTGAAAGTCTGTATCCCAGCAGATGGTTGTGCATTCTTGTCCTTTTTTTTATTTTAGTCATTTGAAGAGTTTACTGGAATAAAGCTGCACAGTAAAACTTTCCTCTTGTTGAACGATCTGACGGATCATGAAATGCTAATGATTTATCCTTTTAGGAAGAGATGACAGACTTCAAAGAACAGATTAGTCTTTACGAATCTGCTGCAAAAATTGATGCCTTTATAAAGGAAACGCCGGATCAAACCGAAGCTTTATTAACTGATTCCTATGTGGACCTCGGCATCAAGAAAGGAAACTGGAAAGTGCCAAGATTCCAAAGGTATCAATTGAAATAATATCCAAGCAGTACTTAAAAAGTTATCAAAAACTAAGGTTTGTTACATGTAATGTACCTTTTTTTATAGTCAGTGCTTGGAAGATTCCAATTTCAACAGAATGCTGGAAATCTGAAAAAAATTTAAATATACACTTGGTTAATCAACACCTGAAAGAGAAGTCAGTGTTTGTCCCTTCATTAGAACTGTAGCTGTCTATCTAAGGTCCACAAATCTACATCATACAAAGCCATTTGGAACAAATCGTTCCATGTGCTGAATGGCTTTTTATATTCTTATGAGGTTCCCACGTGGATTCATTATTTTCAACAAAGCACTCTTTCCAGTTTGATAACTATTATTTTTTTATATGAAAAGCTCTTTTTAAAAAAATATTAAAAACACAAAGCCGAAATACATAATTTGAAGAACCATTTGCAGAAATTCCTAATTTGTATAATTTTGTACTTTTTCACTCTTGAGGCAGCAAAATTATAGAATTGACTAGATAATGAATAGAACAAAATGATCTGTTTCTGGTGATGTGTAAAACTAACTACATTTCGTTTTTACTATTCAACATAATTGATATCAAGATGGTTTTGGTACTTACTTTTTTTTTCTCTTCAGCACAGTGCGAAGGGAAGATTCAGATAAGATGTCTAAAGATGAGGTTATATTGGATCTGAAAGTTGAACTGGAACGGTCATTAAGCATTATCAAAACAAAACGTCAACAATTGATTCAGCTACAAAACGAAGCTAAAGAACGTCAAAAACAAATAGCTGAACTAAAGGAACAGTTAGAAAATACTGAGAAAACAGCAAGAAATCATGAGGTCTGTTAAACCAGTAAGCTTCATTCCACTTTACATGCAGTAATAGTATTCAGTAAATGTTATTGGAACATCTCTGAGCTAGATGAATTAATGCTGTATTTGGTTGTATGTTTCAGGTGAGAGCCTGTGCCTTAGAAAAGCAGCTGGAAGCATTGGGTCCCTATTCATCCACCTCTGAGAAAGCTCTCCGAGAAGAAATTGAGAGACTGCAAAGTGGAAAACAGGTGCTATTTGAGAAAATTGAGGTGAAAATTAAATTATTTCTCAAATTTAGTAATTTTTGCCCACAGAATATACAGTCAATTCACCTTGCAGTATATTCTTTGAAGCGTTTGAGATGTCTCAAACCATGATAAGGCGCTATATCAAATGCAAGGATTATTATTATTGTTATTTTTAAATGGAATAGAGAATTTAAAAGGTCATAATTGAATTTTAATATTTATGTTATCAGGAAGGTCAACAGCAGATTGAAAAATTAACTGGTAGTGAGAAGCAATTTAAAGAAGCAAACCAAGAATTGTACAGTGAGATGCGTCAGATGATCCAGGAATTTAACCAGAATAAACAAGAGGCAATCGAGAGGTAAAGATTAAAATTTTTAATTGAATAAAATTATATGCCCAATTACACACATGGTTTGCAAGACAAAAGCTTAGCCAGTCTTTAATTATCCCCACTCCTCACCTCCCAGCTCCAACTCCTGGCCCATCTCTTAACTGACATTATCAACCTCTCCTTATCCACTGGCACTGTTACCACCCCCCTAAAAACAGCTGTCATCACCCCCATCCTCAAAAAATCTTCCCTGGACTCATCCCTACTCTCCATCTCCAACCTCCCATTCCTTTCCAAGGCCCTGGAACGTCCCCATCCTACTTGCTCTTCGTCTCCCCCCCCTCTGACCCCTCAATCGTCCTCTGCCCACATCACAGAAGCAGCCCTGGTCAAAGTCACTGACAACATTCTGAACATCTGCAACCAGGGCTCTGCCTCCTTGTCTTCCTCGACCTCTCTGCTGCCTTTGACACTGTCGACCATTCTATTCTACACTGTTGATGAGTACAATGACTTTATCACGTTGTTAGTACCTACATTAAAGCCCTTACTTTGATGTGAGTGGTACTGGAGAGTGCTACTGGAAAGTAAATTTGTTTCAATATGTTTTGCATTATTTTTCCTTTGAAAAATCCATTACTGTAAGATGTGAAAGAATATATCAGCAGCATCATGAGGATTCCAAATATCGTCTGCAGCAGGAGCTGCACGAACAACACGAACTGGAGAAAGCTCAGTTGATTCAGCTGTATGAAGAGCAGATCACACAATTGACGTGAGTTTGAGTGTTTCATTCAGCTTCTTATCATCCTACAGTTGAGTTAATTTGTTATAAACAGCATTGTCCTATACCAGCAGATGGTTGATCAATCGGACATAATGCACAAAGTCCCCTTCATAGAAGACATGGTGGCTACATTACTGGATTGCTTCAAGGGTTTTCATGACTTGTAGGGAGACATTGTAGAAAAATGTATAGAGCATTTTCACACGTTCAATTCTGTTAAGCCATTGAAACTGTGTGGTAGTTCCTTTCGTAATGAATCTTCTCTTCCATTAAATCATAGCAACTAACTAAGAGACTGAAAGATACAATATGCATCTTGTTCAGTATAATTAAATTTATGCAAGAATGCAAATCGTATTCAAGCCTGAGCTATCTGTTAGAATCAGATAGCAGAATTTCGCCTATATATACAGTCAATCCACTTGGCAATATATTCTGTGAAGTACTTTCGGACGTCTCAACAACCTGATAAGGCGCTATATCAAATACAAAGATTATTCTTATAATCAGTTCCTTGTTAATTTGTACACATTATCAAGGAGAAATAATTTTTTGTATGCATTTCATGTTTTAGAACCAAGTTGGATCAACTGAACAAGGAGATGTCTGGAGTGCAGGAGTGTTACATTACTATCTGCAAAGATAAGGATTCATTGGAGAGCAGATTAAAGGAAGAAATGGCACACATATTAAGAACAACAGAACTGGAGGTTAGTTTGCAAATATAAGTGCTTTGAAACGTCTAGAAATTGTGGTAAGGCGCTATTATCAAATACAAGGATTATTATCATCCATTAAAGACCCAATTTTTTCTTACTGTGTTGCTTAATGAGTTGCTCAGAATCTGTCTTCCCTGAATGAAATTCCACAAAAACAACCAAAAATTACATTTGTATAGTGTAAATTAAATTCTAGTCGGTTGGAAGCTTTTTCCTTTCAGCCTAGTTTTATAATTGCTCCCTAATATGCAGAACACTCTTGGGAAATTGAAACACTTTTAACTTTTACCTGAACTGTCGTCCTGAAACAAACAATATTGCTTCGTACTAATGAGAAATAATTAAATTTCAATGTCGTTTCTGGATACAAAGATAATTATGTTGATTTCTCAAATGAAAAGGACATTTTAGATGAAATGAAGGCAACTTTAAGTGGCCTACAGCCTGAGCTAGAAAAAAAGCACAGGGATGCCATGGAAGTTGCAATTAACTGATACCTCACTTGTAATACATGTAGCCATTGGTGCAAAATGTTTAACCCAATATTTTTTATCATAGTTGTTTGGCTGCAAATCTGCCAATGGAATCAACATATATTTTGTATGATTGCTATGTTTTTATGCAAAGTTGAATTAGAAAAGTTTAGTTATCACCTGAAGGCTGGACTACGGCAACTCTCTCCTCGTCGGCCTTCCCGGCACCTCCCTCCACAAGCTGCAGGTCATTCAGAACTCTGCAGCTCGTGTACTGTACCACACCAGGCTTCGCGACCACATCACTCCCACCCTCGCTCGCCTCCACTGGCTCCACATCCCCCAGAGGATCGAATTCAAGATCCTCATCCTCACTTACAAGGCCATTCACGGCCTTGCTCCCTCCTAACTCTCCGTCCTACTATCCCCCTACTTACCTTCCGTTCCTCTGGCTCCGGTCTGCTTCACATCCCCCGCCCCAACCGCCCTACCATCGGTGGCTGGGCTTTCAGCCTCTCAGCCCGAGGCTCTGGAACTCCATCCCCCAGTGCCTTCGCCGCCTCCTCCCTTTCCTTCTTCAAGGCCAGTCTCAAGACCTTTCTCTTCAACCTGGCCTTCACCTCCCCTCTCGACTCTCTAACACCTCCTCGCTCCCTCCCTTCCCCTCACCCTGACCATTTCCTCCCTGCTCGGATCCCGACCCAACTGTCCAGCGCCTTGGGACGTCCCCCCGACATGAAAGGCGCTCTATAAATGCAATCTTGTTGTTGCTGTTAAAAGTCTTTTTAGATTTTCAGGTGCCATTTAGATTGAAAATGTGTTTGCAAAGAATATTCAGCTTTCTTTGCTGCTGTAGTAAGTAATCTTTATCTACCCTGATGTAAGATTAATTTATAGCATTGTCGATGCTTGTGCCTATTTCCTTTCTAGGTTAAAGACCAAGCGATTCAAGCAGTAGAGGGAGAATGGCAATTTAATCGGGACCGAACAATAGAGGAGATTAAGCGAAAATATTCACCTGAGAAAAAACAAAATTGCCAGAATGACCAGACCTGCCAAACTAAACTTTCCTCTGACACTGAAATCTACACACGGCAGGAATTAGAAACTCGACTTGCTTCTCAACAATTGATGTTGGAGCAACAATCTCAGGAGCAGAGAATAAGAGCTGTTGGAGAAGCCTTAAAACAGCTTGAACTAACACTGGAGAAGGACCACGAAGAAAATGTGGCTAAGCAGGTACATCTGGAGGAAATTATGAAAATAACATTTGTTTAATAATAATGACTGATAATCCCTTGGAAACCTTTGCATAGATTTAATGAATTAGCACTTTGTATGTCTAAAAGGCATATGCCATGTTAACATCATTTGTGATCACCCCCACAATTAAAACACTCTGCCCTAATGAATGAACAGGTACAAGAAGTTCCTGTGAATTCCCTTTTATAATTATCCAACTTGTGTTAAATTTTTACATTGAAAATTGGTCTCCACAGTTTTTAAATGGAAACATTTGGAGCTTAGAAACTTTTTCACACAGAGTTCACGGAATGTAGTCCTGCATTTCTTCCTTGTCCCAGCGTTGAATTGCTCATTGCTAGTTTGAGAAATAAAAACTAAAGAAAATTTCATGTACGTTTTTCTAAATTTAAAACTATAATTTTCTGGATAGAAATTAATAGAATTGACTAGAAAGATGCCAGACTGACTGCCTTTCAGGCTGAATTTAACAGTAATACAGTATGCTGAAAGAATGAAACAAATAATGGTGAAGACATTTGTTTGGGGCTTACAGGTTGAAATGGCAGTAACAAAAGCACGTAAACATTGGCTGCAAGAACTAACAAGTTTACCTGAATACAGAAACCATTTACAAACTGAAAAGGAAAAGTGGGAGAGCGAGCACGAGCAAGATGCCGCCAAACAGGTGAAATTATAAGAATATATGTCTTTAGTAATTTTGTAAAAAGCATTGAGAAATTTGCCACCATCTAATTCTGAGTGCAATTGTTGCAGAGCCTGTAAAGAATGCTGAAGAGGTCATTATAATGGTTTATGTTGCTTTCTGAAAACAATTATTAAGTAGTGTTTTTTTTTCCAGATCTCAATGATATTCAAGGCAAATGAGGACAAATGGAAGAAGCATAGTGTGAAGGAAAGTGAGCAGGCTGGATCCAGTGTTAAAATATCAGAACTGCAAGAAAAGATACTTGCACTTGAGCATGAATTAGACCTTGTGAAAGAAAAAGATGCTGCATTCACCAAAGCTGAACTGGCAAAAGCTCGAGCTCAGTGGAACAAGGAGAAAAGTGAAGAAATTAATAGAATTCAAGAGCTAAATGAAAAAGATTATCAAGTATTTTTGGCCGAGCATCGAAATAAACTCAACGAGATTCTTAAAAAAACCAAAGAGGACTTCATCCAGCAGAGAAATGAGCTGCTTGCTCAGAAGGAATCAGAACTAAACCAGCATTTCCTGAAGAAGCAAAACGAATGGTCAGCTCAGCAAGCTGAAAAGATTCATCTTGAAAGACAGCGGTGTGAGTGTGAGATTATAGCCGAACTTGAACATTTGGTAAGCGAGATCCCAGAACATCTTATTGTGGAGTCAGAAACTCAGTGTTTCCGAATGAAGGGATATTCCAACACCTTCAGAAATAGCACGAACGCATCATTGGATTATGTAAATGATTGTCTTCATAAAGCCTGCAGAAAAATGGTTGAAAAGATCCTGCAGACCATCAATGAAAAGGTAAAGGGAATTGACTTTCCAATAATGGACAATACAGTTTACATTTTTGTGGCAACTTTCATGACAGAGAATGTCTCAAAAGTTTCACACTACTCTTTCAAAGCATTGTTCATCAAGCATGCACAGTATCTATTTTGATTACTATTACAATTTGTTCACCTAGAAGTTGGCCATTTCTTTGTATGTGATAACCAGCTAATGAGTACCAAGACCTGGAAAGCTGGAAATACTGCGTTCTCGGTTAGCAAATGTTCACCCTAGACCTGGACACTGTGAAGAAGCACTATACTGGGGGGAATGAGGAAAGAACTCTAGTTGTTGATGACAAATTAGTTAGATTTACCTTTTATTAATGCAGTACACCTTTGCAATTGAACTTAAAAAGCAATGTTTGGGTGCAGTGGTTCAACCCGGAGACCTTTGCCATTCGATCACGAAACTGAAGTTCTACCATCTCATATTACAGAGATTCACATCAGATCTCTGAGGAAACAGTGCATTTTTCTCTCCTATGCATTTTTAGTTTTGAATTTTGAATGATTGACGTGTCTTATAAATTGAGCTTTTTGGGTATAGAGTTTCTTATTTGTTTCAGGAAAGTAAATTGGATCTACAGGATGCGTTACAAGAATCCAAAAGGCAGCATGAGGAATACAAGTCAGAAAAAGAAGCACAGCTTAGGAAGTTCATATTGTCCGAACTTCAGCTCAGGCAAAAGCTGGAACGTCTAGAAAATAGCTTGGGCCAGGAAACGAAAACCAAAGATGGTATTTTTCACGTTCTCTGCCAGATCCCTACATATTTCCTTATTTGTTTAGAATAGAGGGACACAATTGGCAACTACAATAGGACCTCTCTCCTGCACCTTTCTTTCCTTGGTCTCAGTCCAGGATTCTGCCCTGCTTTCATTTCACAATCCAAACCAGAATTGTTTGATTTTAAACTGTGTGAGCTTCTTGCATTTTCTCGAGACTAAAAAGCTCTATGGGTACTGTTGTATTCTGTTTTTACTTTGCTAAAGAGCATGGCAGACCACTGCCCTTCAACCAAACCTAATACTCCCTCATGTGGAGAGAGCAGTTTTTATGATGTACTTGTGTACCTGTATTGTTCTGATATTAAGCAAAGCAATATAGTAGTTTTATTGTTCTATACCTTCTATGCGGTATATTTTATACATCAGTATATACAGTAAATAATCCAAGGACTTGTGAGGGAATGTAGAAAAGGACTAGATTCCCCCCACCACACACACACACACACACAAATGTTTGAAAGTTGTCTTGCAGACCCTGGTTTTGAAAAGAATAACTTAAAACCTGGTCACTGGCAATGTGGGGAAAACTGCAGGCTGCAAATACAAGCCTTGCAGCAGGAAAGCCAGCACCTGAAGAAAAAACTAGAGAAAGCATGCAAGCAGCTTCAGCTCACTGTTCGTGAACATAAGACCAAAGAGCAACACTTCAAAGGTGTGTTGTGGGTCACAGATTCTAGTGAGAATAATGATATTGATAATTAAATAAATCACATTTGTATTAATATTGCCACATGAGTGTTGTCTGGATTAAACCTGGTCAGGGAACATGAAAATCATTGGCTGTTTATAAGCTGCTGGTTTGTAAACTAGTTCTAAGTTATAGAATAAAATCAATAGCAATTCTTAGGGGGTGGGAAGAGTCAAATATAGAGATTCTGCTTCTTTAAGATCTTCACATAATGCACAGTCACTGTGACTATGAATGGATCTCTTTCCTTTTCTCACCAAAGCCTACCCTTGGTTGGTTAATTCTAATTAAGTTATCTTCGGGCCCCAGTTGGTGTCGTTTGTGCTTTTGCTAAACTTTGCTTCTGTAGTTTTACGTAAGAATTCCATTATAAACCTAACCGCTTCACAGAGCCTTTCCAATGCCCTAAAACATGTCTATAGTCCTTTCATCTAATCTATTATCAGAAATTAATTCTGAAATGCCTTTTTCTGTAATATTTCACAGAAGAACATGAGGCCTCAGTAAAATTGATGCAGAAAGCGAATGATGATCTTGTCAGAAGACTGAAAGAAGAATCAACTGGGAGTAAAATGAATGTTCGGTATGTTCGTGGTCTTTCAAAGTAGAGTACAAAGGATTTTTTTTTAAAAAAAGCGTGGCTTTATATATTTGTTTTTCCATCAGGTTACAAGAGAACTGCGATTTTGGCAAGACAGACAAGAACAGTTCTGCAAAAGGGTTAGAAGAAATACGCCATCAGTATTTGAGGGCTGTGGACAAAATTAGAGGTAATTCTAGCCGTCTTAAGTTGAAATGTGGATGTATTTTAACAATTAAAATTGGAATTTGACTTCTCCGGTGGCTCAGTTAATAAAGACAAAGCAACATTGGTGCTTACAGACCCAGGAAATCCCAAATGAGGTCTCCGGTCAGTCCTGCATGAGCTGATCTCAACAATGGCAACAGAAATGCACTACAATTAATCTCAGTGCCTCCATATGAGGGAAGAGTCTGCCAAAACCCCTGGTCCTGATTGCTATTCCCTTTAATGGAAAGTGCCGTAGAGGAATCAAGTTTGGGCAACCCGGATGATAGGCTTGCAATCAAAACTCTGCCTATGGTCTCATCAGACAAATGATCACTTGAACAAGACACCAGCAGACATTGCCAGCCATAAAGCTGAAGTGCATCAATGTGTCAGTACCTCGAGAAGAAATGTGGAGGAAATCTCAAGGAGGGTGGGAAATTGATGTTACTTTCATCTTTGGCTACTTTTCGAGTATAGCGTAGATTCATATTTTGTTATTGCTACCCATGTTTTGTTACTACTTTAATGGCAGCATGGGAAATTGATTGTTACTTTCATCTTTGACTACTTTTTGAATATAGTGTCGATTCATGTTTTGCTACTTTAATGGAACTGGAATGTTGTCCTTTCATGCACACTTTTCTGCTGAAGTTTACTTTGCACTAAAGTAAATATTTCTACTCTTTGTATCATACAGCCTAGATGAGCAACAGATGGATCAACAATCCTTAAAACTAATGGATATTTTTGAGGCTTTGTTTTAACTGTTGCTTTCCAATAGAACTGAGGTAGTACTTGGGAACAGGGAGTACTCTCCATTGACTTTGCGTTCACTTTTCATCTGCAGTCTTTCATTATTCGCACGATTGCTGTGGTTCACTGATGAAGGTGTAGCTACTGTACTTTTTTTTTTCCTGTGGCATGATTCCATGGTGGAAATCAATTTTGACACCAATTGTTTTTGTGGACTTGCTTTTCACTTCTGGAATAATCCTGAGCAGTGTTTAAATCACCACTGCAAAAGAATAAATGGTGCTAGAAAAAAAACTTCATTAGTGTGTGGGCTACTTACCTTCTATGTACACATGGAAGGGGGAAAGATTGTTCAAACTGTTGTATTACAGTCCTAATTTATAATGTGATCTGATCTATCTTTTCATGTCCTGAGAATGTACCTTGCCTTTTACAGGGGACATGCTGTGTTACATTCATGAGAGTAAGGAACGAGCAGCTAAAATGATTCGTACAGAAGTGCTGAAGGAACGACAACAGACTGCGCGAAAAATGCGGAAATATTACTTGACCTGCCTGCAGCAGCTCCTCGCAGACAGTGGAAAGAATGAAGGGTAAGAATCTTCATGTTTTGCTTTTCTGTAGATTTAAATATATTACACATATTGTAGCTTACTGCAGTAACCAGTCTTGTGGCATTTTGGGAAAATTGTGGAAAGCTTTTTTTAAAAAAAACATAAAGAGCAAAGTCCCTTTTATACGCAGAGTTAAAATGACTTGCCTGTCTAAAGTGGGCAGCTTTCACATGAGTATCTGCTGGCTCTTTGACAGCCAGTTTATCACAGCTGATCCTAATGCATATCTAGCTAATGTCCATTTTAGTTTGGGTGTTCTTTTAAAATGCACCCTTAGACCAAAAAAAACATCTTTTCGTTTTGAAGATGTGTGCTTTAAAATAATAAACACACAATTATGTACTTTTCATAAATTTTAGAAAGCACAACTTTCCATACGTGAAAGATTCAGGAGAGGGGTCCTATTTTGTTTGCAATGATATGCAACTTCAAAATAATACCAGAATTTTATATAGATCCTTGATTTTTAAAAAACTTTCTTTCTATTCTTTGTCATGAAATCAACAGGAACATTTCTTAGAATGCAACAAACTGATTTAAGGTAATATAGTCATACAATTTTGGCTATATTACTACAGTATCAATTACAACTGCTGGCTATAAATTGTTTATTGAAAAGCTCAGTTATTGAGCCTTGTGTCCAGGTAACTGTGTTTAGTCCAGGTTTCTTTTAATACATGTCTGAATTCTCTGCAGCGCTGAGAAGAGAATCATGAGTGCTGCTAGCAAGTTGGCTGCAATGGCCAAAGCATTAGAAACTCCTCTTCCAAATCGAAATCGTAATAAAACAGAGATAACCAATGGTATGTATGCTGTGTACCTGCACACCAAACAACAATAATATTTAGTTTAATTTAGGTCTATGCGACTCATTTGTTTTGTTTAAAAAAAAGTTTTTGTGTTTGCTTAACTGATATGCACCATAATTATCTTCGATCATCTGAACGTGAAGGCAATAAACTTGTTTTTAATTGAAGTTTATAGGTAGGGTAGGGTAGTATGTTGGTACTTGTGTAAAGTCTATTGTGGAGCAGAGGATTTGAAGTCAACTTTGCATTTGCTAGATTGTTTTTTTTGGAGAATGAGAGGTGACTGAAGTGGGCATAAAGATTAAAATAAACCTTTTATTTTAATTATTGACTTTTTTCTATGAGTTATCGCTTCCTTGTTTTTGTTAATAAAAATATGACTGCTTTCTTTCTCAGTTAACTTGTTGATTCTGTTTTGCATTTCATTTGGATGAGCTAAGAGATTATTCCACTTTTTATTTAGTGCCTGCATTGATGTTTAATTCCCAAGAATCATCATTTCCCACACATACGCATTTCTGCATGTATGTCATATGTGATTGTTTAAAATATATATGTTTCTGCCTGTAGATCATCCCGGTGGCAAACATTCAGACCAAACGCCAGGCATTCCTAAGAAGAATCGTCTACCCAATGAAGCTGATTGCAACCAGGTAAACCACATTGAGAGTCAATCGTCCAGTGAAAAGCAAGCCAGAAAATGCCTCAAACCTGGAGCTCCCAATACCATTAATAAAGAATTTGTGCCACACCATTTCAACAAAGTATTAAGTCTTGCAACTGTACAGAATGGCACCTCAGGTGAAGAATTGTTTACTAAGAGAAACCAAGGTGATGCTTGTGCAGTTGATAGAAATCCTGGTCTTTCAGAATTCCAAAACACAACCTTCAAAACTAAGGATGGACATCAAATGAATGGTGCTGTTGTAACAAATGTGCAAAAGCCAAAGCTGCACAAAGCTGCTAGTGTTTCACACCATTATGATTTAGCCAGTTATCATCCCCAAATGTCGCTTAGCAAAGCGCATATGTTCAGCTCCATTGACAGTCTTTCAGACGGGTCTGAACTGCACTTGACCCACGAGAGTCAAAGTCTTATCCCCAAAACAAAACATTTGCATTATTCTTCAGAAGAACATCTCAGCTTCAAAAATCTGGCTGGAGTATCATTAAACGTCCACGAAACACCTGAAAGAGATGAAAGTGGTTGTCTTACCAGCATTGAAGATAAAGGATTGTACACACTGGAATCTTTGGATTTTTGGAAGACTGAAGGTATACTGTGCCAACCTCACAGCAGTACAACAAATGTTCGTGTAGAACTGGGTGCCAATGCTTTGGCACTTCCAGGTGGACACTTACTCCATAAAACTGTTTCACTGTCAAGAGATACCCCACGGATGCCAACCTCCATTGAGTCTCTGTCTTCTGAAGTGAGCTCACTTTCTGATGGGGAAGGGACTCGTTTTTCAGCAATGACAACCCAAGTTAAGTCAGCCCAGCACACTGACATTATACAAAACCTTGCACAGGGCAGCCGTACAGTTCATAGTGGGGAGCAGCTGATCACAAGACCTCAGAAATATCTTTGCAATACTGAGTCTGCATTGGACAGTAGGACAGCAAAGTTAGCTAAATCAGACTGTGGGAAACAACATATCCCCAAGCGATGCACATCACACTTAATCTCCAATCTGCATGTTCGTCAGCAGGACAGTGGATTTGATAGTCCATTCTTTGATTTTCATTAATCAAGAGTTGCTATCTCATCACCTAAACCCTTAATTTTTTAGATTGAATAGATTTTTAGATTTTCGATTGAATAGGAGTGAGTTCATAGAACGGGTATCTTGAATAATTTGTTCACTGATCTTGTATTAAATTATGTTCAGTGTAAAACATTTGTAATTAAGTATTTGATATGTTGTAACATATTTGTGGCACATTTTATTTTACAATTTTTTTTACCACAGGCTATGATTTCCTTTTTTGTACTGTATTGTCCTTTATTGTTTTTTTTATTTCAAATTGCTTTTTATAAGTAAAGGTTAATACTAATAAAATCTGCATTTTTAATAATAACACCCACTCTTGTCTGATTGTTTGGAGCTTTCAAACCATTGAAAAAGTATTGGGGACAACTTTTTTAAAATAAATATGCAGCTTATTGCATTGCTGCAATTTACTTGAACAATGTGCTGAAAGAATGAAAACTGGAAAGAAGCACTCACTTTTATTTCTTACTATTGAAACTATTCAAAACAAAAATTACATAAGCACAATCAGTGAATGAGATTAAAGAAATTGCTTCATAGTGTTTATTGAGAACCTCTGTGGTTTATCTGACCTTTAAAAGGGATGAAAAGGGTACAGTCATTTACAGCTCCTTAAACCTTTTATTGTGTTATTTTTCATGCATTCATTCCCAGTGCTGTTTTCAGCCTGAATGCTTGAGATCAATGACGGAAGATATGCTTTTCTTAAAATTGTGCCAAGAAAGAGATGTTTTAAGGTCCATTTAATTGGTACATTATTTTTTCACAATCTGAAGCATATGTTATACAAGGCTACTGTGTGAGTTCATAGCTCTGATAGGTTAAGGTACTGATTGTCAGCCAGTTTTCTTTCATATTGGATTCTTATTAGACATCATTGAGTCACATGTCCCACGAGTGGCATGTGGGATCTGTGGCGAGGTTGGGTCACTGAATAAGGATCAAACACAGCCAGGTACCCTCAGAGCAAAGCCTGGCCACATTTTAGCAGCCTCCAATCTGAAAATGATTTTGGCTTCACCCAACGCGATTGTGTTGGATCCAGTCACTCAGGGCTTCAACAATCTGAGGGACATGATCACAACAGCTGTGGTCAAACTGCAATATAATTGGAGAAGCCAGATCATTGCTCTGGTGGTCCTGAACCTGCTCTCTGTAATTGGGAACATAGTGGTGATCAGAAATATAACCTGTACCTGGCGGAAGAAGAGAAAGCGAGTTCGCCGATTGGACTGGCTGTTCGTCCACTTAGCCGCGGCTGATCTGTGCGTGGCTTTGCTAACTCTCCTGTCTCAGATCATCTGTGAGGGTTTGGGTAATGTGTGGCTGGCCGAAGACCTGGCCTGCAAGATGGTCAACGTGATACAGATATTCGGGCTGGTGGCTTCATCCAATATTATTGTCCTAGCTCTGGCGCGGCAACTGGTCATCACCAAACCCTTCACTTTGCCACTTTCCACCGAGAAGCGTTGGGTTGCAGCTTGGATCTGTGCCCTGTTGCTCTCCAGAAGCAAGCTTTCGTGTTCAGAGAGACAGAGATCAACTCCACCTCTCAGTGTCTGAGCCTGTTCGAGAACCTGCCCAGATGGCATTTCCAACTGTCCATCATCTTCGGGGCGATGGTGGTGTTTATCCTGCCCTTTAACGCCCTTTGCTACTCCTACATCCTGAACCTTCGGACCATTTGGAATAAAAGAACGGGTGATGCACATGCCAGACCAGAGGAAGTCGAGAAGTATTCGCCTCAACGTGATCAACAGCGGCCTGCCCAGAGCCGAGGCCAAAGTGGTCAAGATGTCACCGGTCACCATCCTGCTTTTCATCGCTTGTGGGTTGCCTTACTTTGTGCTGGAGATGAAGATCGCCTTCGGGAACATCGCCGAGCTGGATCAGACGGTGATCGCTGTGCTGGGTGTTTTTGTGGTGTCCAACAGCGTGGTTAACCCGTTCGTGTATTTGAATTTCCACCCCAAGAACAGGTACCTGCGGAGAGACTGAGGAGCGCCGTGTGCTCCTCTTGCATTAAGGCACAAAGCTACCCGGACTCCCGGCAGCAACCTCTAACCTCTCAGCCCAAAACCGTCCCCGAAGAGACCGTACAAGATACAGCCCAGATCAAGCGCATCAGCGGTAGTCTGGGTTCTTTGGTAAAGCGCTATGTAACTTTTCCAGAGCAGTAGATAGCAAGTGACTTAGCTTTGCAGGTAGTTTAAATGTAAACGCAGGTAGTTAAATGGATTGGATACTCTTTAAGCATAGTGATGGGTTTCCGCATGTGTCAGATACCCAGCTAACCCCCCCCCCCCCCCCCACACACACCCACCGCCCTCCCACCGGGTAGCGTCCCAGAGCACTTGAATTATAGTTCCACAGATGAGAACAATAACAGGTTCTTATAGCCTTATGTTTGTATGTGGACATTTATAGTCCGTTTGCTAAAACCATTTCTGCAAGTGTTTTGACTAAAATCTTTGCAAAATTGTTGCAGTATTTTCAAAATAATGGTACAATGTATTTTAGCCTTTACGCTTGTCTTTGCAAACAGTAAAATGTTGTTTCTTCAGATAACAAAGTATCTCTGTGTCTATTTGATCTTTCTTCTTCTTGGTCACTTGATGCTCAGTGTCCGACATGTAAGTTGTTATACAAATGTAATTTGTTTTTGAAATAGGTAATGTACTATCTCCACATCCAGTCCACGTCCTGACACTGCTGTTGAAACTCATATAACAGGCTTTGTTTATATTCTAGTTCCTCAAGTAAATTACTAATGAATGTGCAAATACACAATCAGTAAACTTTAAAATAAGATCCAGTGAAGAGCTTCGAGATGTTTTGAAAATACGATAAAGCGCTACATCAAATGTAAGGATTTTTATTATTATATACGTAGATAAACAGTCGCGTAAAAATGCAAATTGTATCAAACATGTTACTGATTCATTCTTTTCAAGAACTATTTTCGCTGAACCAGGTTTCAAAGCTCCTCCAGAACAAAATGGAGTATTCTTACCATTCCTTAGTAATTACATGAATAATAATAATAATCCTTGCATTTGATATAGCGCCTAATCATGTCACGGACACAACAACAACAAAACTACATTTATAGAGCGCCTTTCACATCGGGAGGACGTCCCAAAGCGCTGAAAGCCAGGTACCTGACACATGGAGAAACCTATCACTATGCTTAACGAGTATCCAACCCGTTTAACTACCTGCGTTTACATTTAAACTACCTGCAAAGCTAAGACGTCTCAAAGCACTTCACAGAAGTGGACTGTGTATTTTGTGGGTGAAACACGGTAGCCAATTGCACACAGTGGTGTCCACAATTGATTGACCAAAGTTTTTTTTAAAAAGGGTTTATTACCCCTGACAGTCGACTAACAACTGGGTTCCTACTTACTGCTAGGTAAACAGAGGCATTTGGAGCAAGCAAACTTGCCTAAGGTTTTGTCTCGCCCAGGTCCTCTCACTTGCAAGGTGAGTGTGTTAACATTACACTACAGGTCTCCACTAGTGTTCCTTACTAAAAGGTTTGCAGATTGTGCAATAGGCAGATTGTAGAACAATAAGTGCAGTAAAATCTATGTATGTAATAAAATGCTCCATTCGTTTCTCCCACAAAACACACAGTCACTCCACTTTACAGTGTATTCTGTGAAGCGCTTTGAGATATCTCGACGATGTGATAAGGGGCTACATCAAATCCAAGGATTATTATTATTATTATATTCCATGTAAATCTGTTGAATATAGAACAGCCACTTCACTTCCTGGCGAAATTTCAGTCTACTTCAGTTTTAAATTACAGCTTCACAGCAAAATGATGGCAAACATTTCAATTGAATGAAATGGTGGAGAAACATAATCCTATAATAATAGTGCAAAGATGCAATCAAACCCATGCATGAATTGTTTTGTACTTCAGTAAAAATGAAATTGGCACTATTGCACCTAACATAAATTGTTTATTAATTCAAAAGAAAATAAATGGATCGAGCTCTCTCGGAATGTGCCTGACCCAGTATTGGGCTGATGTCTCTCGACACTGAATCTCAAATTGTTTGATCCACTTATTACAAGTGAACCTCGTAATACTTGCATTAAACAATTCAAGCAAAAGTGTAAACAAATAAATATGTTTTGTGTTCCCGAGGATTGTTTTCATTGAAATGGCCAGATTTTAATATTGAAAGATCCCTTTGAAATCAATTGGTCATTTTCAATCTACGACTGTTTGTGGGACATTGCTGTGCGCAATTGGCTGCCGCCTTCGCCCACAAATCTACAGTCAATTCACTTTACAGTGTGTTCTGTGAAGCGCTTTGGGACATCCTCCCGACGTGAAAAGCGCTATATCAAATGCAAGGATTATTATTATTATTATTATTATCCCCAGCTCAGGTGCCCACCTAGTATTGTCAAGCACTTTGAAACGTTCTCCTGACATGAAACACGGCACATTTGACAATGCAGCACATCCCCAGCACTGCATCGCAGTGCCAGCATGCATTTTGTTTCAAATCTCAATGCTTCGAGCCAGCAAGCTCCTGGGCTGTTTAACTGATGGCTATCAATGTTTTAAAAGTATTTGATCAGGTTAATAGTGAAAGGTCATTTTTATGCGTATACATTCGCACATGAGTATCAAAAGCTTGCGAATAGATAGTGCCACACTAGCGTTCAGGTATCGAGACTCTGAAGCAATGAAACTTCACAAAATCCTTAAGCAAACAAACAAATCCTTAACTACTTTACAAACGTTTCAGCACACATAAATGCAGAAAAAGCTACAGGTATTTATTTCACACTACTGCCATCTGCTTTGCGCACTTTTATTTCAATAGGAACACCTGCCACTCTTTTTTTTGTCCAATGTTGATCGAAGCTCAAATGCTGGTGTACAGTGCTGACTGCTTTCATTCTGCTAGTGTGGTGGTGTCTTTTCTGTCCTGATGTACAGTCTGTGAAATAACATGATTAATTAAAGCAGAATTTCACATACATTGATTACTCATACTAAAGGTTGATCAGTTTTCATTCTTGCTGAGACCCAAAGGTCTAGTGCAAAAGGAACACTGATGCCAATCGCATTGTCCCAGCAGACATAGTCTAATTCAGCACAAACCAAAGATTTGTGTGGTCTATACGGCTAGTTTACAGTGGGCAGTGACTTTGCCAACTGAGCTATTGGTGTGTACACTTTGCTTAATGAAAAATAAAAAAACAAACATTAACATTTCCTCGGGTAACCCTCTATTGAAGCATTCTCTGTAACAGAAATTCACACAGAAATTATTCCATCACAGTGCCCGCACATTCCCAGTAAAATCTACTCTTGTTTTTGCTAAAACTTGGAACAAACTATTGCCGTGTGAGCTAACTTCGGGAATCTCCAAGTAGAAGATGATAGATTTAGTTTGCTTAGCACTGCACGGCATCTCGAGAATGCCACAATGCCACATATTATGTACAGTGACAGGAATTATACAGGATCAGGAGCATTCAGCCTTTCGAGGTTATAACCCATTGTATTAGATCACAGCAGATCTTTTTCCCCTTTTTCCTCTCAATTTCTTCCCTTAACCTTAACATTAATTGTCTTCACCTGAGGAACATGCTTCTGTAAGTGATCTCTATCCAGCTTTATATTTGCCTCTAGCATTTGCCTTACAGATCCAATGCTTTCATAAGTAGTTGCAAAACCTTCATGGCAAAACACAAGAGCAATCAGAAATACAGACAGAACGTGATTTTTTCATGTTAATACAATTTTTTCTGAATAGGACTGTGTGTAACAAACCGGAAGTAATTTTTAGCAATGTTAACATGCAAAATTGTTATAAAATCTTAAGTCAATGTAAATCACATAACAATAACATTTTCTCACCAATATTAGTCCCAGTTTTAATAACCTCAATTTCGTTCCATATTTTCCTTTCCATATTGGTGATGCGTGCATTTAGATTTTCTTCATTGAGGAAATCCAGATTCCTTTTCTGTATTTCCTCTATCTTGACAAGCTTTACGGCAAGCTGAATAAATCTTTCTTCCACTTCCCGGTCCCTGCTTTCCTGACACAAACAAGAGGCCCAGAGATCCATTGGAACCACAGAATCTCAGTGAGTCCAGTACATCAAGAAATTCCATCATTTAAACTTTCAAAAGGTGGGTAGAATGGCACATTAAACATTTGAAAAACAAAGCTCGTAAATGTTTTTTACATTTTACATTTTTACAGTGGCATATTATTAATTATTTAGGTCAGACTCTGTAAAGAGAGTTATCATTAATCCTTATTGATGGCAATTGAGTCGTGTCATTTAGCTTTAATGGTCATTTAGTGACAAAAGGAATTTCTCTTCATTGATTCTTGCTTTTCGTGTTCAAATCCCTTCACTCTCTGGAACCTCCCGACCTCTCCAACCTCCTCATTCCCCAATCCACCAGCCGGCGCCTCCACTTGACTCGCACCGGCCTCCTGCTCATCCCTCGCACCCTCCGCCCCACCTTCGGAGGTCGCGCCTTCAGTCACTACGCCCCAAAAACTCTGGAACATTCTCCCTCAATCCCTCCGCCTTGCCCCCCGCTCTCCCCTCTTTCAAGTCCTGCCTGAAAACTTTCCTCTTCGACGTTGCTTATGGCCAGCTCCCCCCACCCCCCGACTCGGAGTCAGACTCCACCACTACTAAGCGCTCTGAGACGCTGTCCTGCGTGGAGGGTACTGTATAAGTGCAAGTTCCTGGTGTTGTTGTTGTTGTTGTTGTTGCTGCTGCTTGGTGCTCCATCCAGTGGCCAGACCAAGGATTAATGAATCTCCCCAAACAGAGGCCGAGACCCAACATCCGAATGCAAGAAAGCACTCGAGTGCTTGAATTATTACCACAACACAGAAGAATAACATCTAATGTGCTTCAAACACATCTCAACTATTTTTTGCAAGTTTTATCGAGAATATGTTTAGCAAACTACAGTAAATTCCTGATAACTTGATCGTGTCTTTACTTATCACTACCACTTAAGTCATCATGCTGTCAATATCCTGACAAATTTATTTATACATATGCCTAATTCGACACTCCTGATAAGTCGTCGCTGAGCCCTTTGCCCTTGGAGCGACGAGCTATCAGGAGTTTACTGTATATCTTTGAAACAACTTGCAAGTCTCTGTTAAATAGACCCTTTCTGTTGCTTAATGTAACGTAAGTACTTACAGTTTTATCATCAATGAGTAACGAGAACAGTTTTATCTGTCGTAACAATTCCTTTGCCTTTTTCTCTTGTTCCTCTTCCAAACGGTTATAACCGGAGAAAATCTGCTCCTTGATCTCTTCTGTTGCAAGTTTTATCCTTTGAAAGTTCATTTGCAAAATTTTTGTTATCAACTCGGATATCAGAGAAAGGAAGATTCTTTTGTGCGTGCGTTAGCCTGACACAGTTGGTTGCAGTGTCACCTCTGAGTTGGAAGGTTGTTCAAGCTCCACAAAGGAACTTTGAACTGGTATAATCTAGGATAATAATCCGTACATTTGATATGACACTTCAATACAGTGCTGGCGTCTGCTGCGTTATTGGAGATATCTGCTTGCGCACGTGGATGTTAAAGATCCCATGCCACTATTCAAAAAGAAGGGATTTTCTGCTGGCTAACAATCCCCCCACATAACATTGCTTATTCAATTCATGACAACAACAAGAACTACAACAACTTGCATTTATATAACGCCCTCCACGCAAGGTAGAGTCTCAGAGCGCTCGACTGTGCGCAAGTTGGCTGCCGTAGCAAAATACACAGCCACTACACTTTACAGTGTCGCCTGCGAAGTGTTTTGTGACATACTTACGGCGATATAAGGAGCTATAACAAATGCAAGGATTCCTATTATTATTAGATGTGCAATTTGGGGGCTTGCGGATGCAAATTGTAAACTCACTTGTCATCCAGTAGATGGAGTTGTTGGTTGCTGTGTCCCTCTCTGAGCCTGATCTTAGCTTCCAGCTCTGCTATGGACTTCTCAATTCTTCTTAAAAGCTGTGAAATCTGCAGGACAAATGAGGCACGGTTAAGACAACAATGCACTTAAATATCCGCTCGGACAATACACGGAAAAACTGTAGTGCAGAGTTTCTCTAATATATTACAGACCAAAAATCCCTTCACCTTGTGACATGTGTCACTGCCTTCAAAACTTGCCTAAAAACCCATTTTTTGACTTTGCATTTGGTGAACTTCCATATATGTCTCTCCTTATTAACTTTCTCAGTGATCCACATTGTCTCTGTAAAGTGCTTTGCAATATTAACTTGGGTGAAAGGCTATGGTTGTATAAATATACGTTGTTCTGTTTTCACTGGTTTCTGGTTTCCAGTGGAAAATTTTTCAAAATGCTTGCCTTGTGCTTGTCTCATGTGATGATTCATTTCAGTGGTTGAAGGAAGTGGGTAGGATCAGGAGGTTTAGAAGAAGGGGACAATGTTGTGAAAGAAATTCAAGGGTTGAAACAAAAGAAAAGGAAAAGGTGCAAAAAAATTCAAATGAAATCTGGCCGTGGTCATTTCTAAGACGAAGACAGAAGGCAAGGACAGGTGTGTCTGAAGACAAGGGGAAATCGGGTGGGTGCCTCAGAGAATCCTGCTCCACAGGTTTGAGTACATAGTACTACACCTATTGCAATGCCGGTAAAAATGTGCAAATATGGTGAAAATTATTGAATGCAATGTACAGTCATTATGAACAGGAAACACAAGGGAAAGATGAACATAGCAGCCACCAACACCTGAAAAGTGTTGGGAACAGCATGTAAAGACCGAAAATCCATTGAAGCCGATTAAATCCAGTTTGTCTCTTAAAAATTGCCTGGATCAAGGGACACCATATTTTAAAATCAAATCAGTCCTCATGAGTGGCTCTTGGAAGATCCAAGGTTATTTGTGCATCAGGAATTGTTTTAAAATAAGATCCGATAGCACAATCAGGAAAAGAGACGAGTTTCTCCTGGTGTCCTGGCTAACGATTTGCCGGATAAATTGGTCATTTGTTTCATGGCTGTTTGAGGGGCCCTTGCTGGACATAATTTGCCAACAAATACTGAATAACAAATCCCTATGAAACTCTTTGAGACAACTGAAAGTTCCAGTTGCTATGTCAAAGGCAAGAGAAATTTACTATTGAATGTGACAGCCAACTGTTGATTTTCTTTACAGTGAATGTATCAGGCTTAATATGTCCTCATGAAAGTAATTCTGTGAGGATGTTCTGCTGAATGATTTCATCAATCTTTCACCTGAAAATCCAATGCATTTGTACAGGAAAACCAGTGAAACTTTTCGTCAAGAGAAACACATTGAACAAAAAGACGTAGAAATGGATTTGGACTTTGGCTGTTTAGATGTTATTGTTTGGATGTTACTGATCTGCAATATAGCTGATGTAGTAATTGCTATACAGTAAGCCATCTCTTAGATTAACCTGCCATTCGACATCCTTTATTTTAGCTTCCAAGATCACTTGTACTTTCTGTTGCTCGTTGCTGAGGCTCTGAATTCCTTTGTGTATCGTGACCAGATCTGCAGACAGTTTGGAGATACTCGCGTCACATCTGTGAGAGAAAGAAGGCAAGGATTCTTAGCTCAAACCTCACTGTCTGCGAACCATTCACAACAAGCATCGATGAGATTAAAATACTGTGTTAAGACGAGTGCTAGAAACGCTATTGTTTTGTTAAGGTTTTATAATCAGAGGTTACTACTGATATCTGACACTAGTTCATACTAACTCAACCCAGATATATGTTGTAAGTGTGACAATGAATCGTCACTCAAAGTGTCAATCTATCACGATATTTAAGGAAGAAACACAGCATACACCAACTTCAATACAAATTGGGTTAGTTAATCAGCCTTGCACAACATACGTGTTCTAAAACAACGTGTGGTGCAATACTTGTAAAAGACTGATAAAAGACCAGAAAGGTTGCAAAGATGCATCAAGCTGCCATAACCAGTGTAAAGCATAGGCAGAGCATAGAACTGTGGGTACAGAAATTGTCACTGAAACAAATTATGTGTCTTGCCTGGCAACACGTCCTCGAAGATCTCCCATGCCGTTCAGATGTCTCATCTCAAGTGTTTTGACTGCGGTATTGGTTGCATAGCTTACACTGTCTCGTGCTTGAATCTGTTCTTGCAGAATCTAACGAAGATCGAATTAGAGTAATTATTTCGGCCTTGCCTATTACAGATAATAAAAGCGTACTGTTTCAGATCAAAAGCAGAGCCTTAAACCGTAACCATGAGCTTTAATCCCTAACCATCTCTCCTACTCTCCTCAAGCTCGAGGGTGCCTCCTCTATGGCCCTTAGTCCTTCATCCAAGTTTCGAGAAAATTTAGCAACTGCGACACTCTTAGCTCGTACTCTGTTTACGTGGGATTTTTGAACCAAGTGTTAGGCTGAATTAGGTTTATGGTGTGGACTTTTGGAACTGTAACACTGCCCAGTGTTCGCATTTATTATCAGAACATTTTTAGTGAGAGTCCTTACTCCACACAACTGATAATAATCCCTCAAGAAAAAAATAATAAATTAGTCACTTCAATCCATGACTATTTGTGAAACACTTGGCTGCCGGGTTTCGCCCACAAAATATACAGTATGTTCTGTGAAGCGCTTTGAGACGTCTAGAAGTTGTAAAAAGCGCTATATCAAATGCAAGGATTATTATTATTCTAGTCTTTCCTTCTCCCTTTCTCTCCTATTCAGATCTGTACCAAGGGCTGACAGTACAATACAAAGGTTAGTGTTTGAACCCGAATAACAGCAATAATAATATTGCTCTTTTCACTTTCTCACATTTGATTGCACAGAGTGACTCATGCTGAATCTCACCTCGATATCTCTGCTCAACTGGTTCACAACGAACGCTGTGTATCTTATATGTTCCTCCAATACCCGCCAGGTTTTGCTTTCTTCTTCATCTTTGCACTTTGCGCCATGCAAATTGGGAACATTATCATCCCCAATGCAAGAGGTGGGACCCAGGAGATTTTTCATGGTTCTTTCATGGTGGGATATGTCATCCTCTGCCTGATTCCTCCAGTCAGCGTATGAGACAGGAGGGGATAGCGGAAGGGATAGTTGTTGACTTTGACCTGCTGGACTTGTGATCCATTAACAACAGGAATGAGAAGAAAATATTATTAGGAAGTAGATAGCCATGTAGTTAATGGAGCGCAGCATTGCGGAGATGGAGTCCTGTAGCTCAGTGGTTAGAGCACTCGCTTTACAAGCGAGAGACCCGAGTTCAATTCCAGGCAGGTCAGGGCGAAACCTTGGGCAAATTTCCTTACTCCACACAGAGCCTAATAATAATCCCTCCAAAACCAAAAACAATACTAAATTGGTCATTTTCAATCTACGACTGTTTGTGGGACATTGCTGCGCGCAATTGGCTGCCGCGTTCGCCCACAACTATACAGTCAATTCACTCTACAGTGTGTTCTGTGAAGCGCTTTGGGACGTCCTCCCGACGTGAAAAGCGCTATATCAAATGCAAGGATTATTATTATGTGTCTGCTTGTTACCTGAACATGTAATCCGATTAAAATGTGAAGATGCTCGTCTGGATGCAGCTTCCTAAAACTTGCCCAGTCTGGTGGACATTGCACCATTTTTTTTTTAAAAAAACCAAAGAAACAGCTTGATGCTGTGATGGGAGGATGGGAGGCTGCGTATTTTTGAAGGGTGAGTTCAGAGGGGTCGAAAAACTTTCTTCATCTGAACTGATCTTATGATCTGGAGCTGCTTATTGAATTAAGATTCAAATTGTGGTAATCTGTGGCTGCTTCAGTAGTTTTACTGAAGGCAGCTGAACCATTCTGATCAAGGAAGGTCCCAGATTCAATCCCTGGTCTATACTGAGTTAGCTTTCTTCATAGGAAAAGCCTTCAGAAAAGGAGGAGGGGGAGAAAATTGGAGATCTACTGTCACAATGCTCTAACCTCAGCAACTGTCACAATGCTCTGTCCTCATTGAAATGCTGAACATTGACCCTATCCATTTGCCCATCAATGTTGCTTTGTCACATGTAAATCGTGGATAAATGTGTCCGGGCCGTTGCAAACAATCTGTGAGTACTTTGAGATGTGTATTCTATGTGAAAGGCATTATATAAATTGGTATCATTGTTTCAAAATGATAATAACGCGCTCTATCAAATACAAAAATCCACATTATCATAGTATGTCACTGATCTTTCACTCTCAATATGATGGAGATTGAATATTTTACCAAGGGGACATATTGTATCTGATTTGTAATGTATTGATCAACACAGCAATGACAAATATCTGAATCACTTCACCCCTGTCTGCCTGTCTGCTGTACCATTTTCATTGAATTTTAATCCTACCTTTTAGTGGGTGTACGTTTGAACGGTGTGGCATTGCACCTTGGCATTTCTTTATTCACTGTAGGAAAAGACACAGATCTGATATAATCACCATTTATGCTTTTGTCTAATCCTTACCACCAGCTGTTTGAAGATCTTTAATCTCACTAACCTAGAATTAGTTCCCTGTGTCCTTTTACATCACTGAGCCTTTCGTTTTAATGTGTTGGCCATTAAGATGATTACACAGAAGCTCGCTGGATAGCTTTCTATATGTACTCAGCCAGCAAGGGCCGAATGGCCTTCTTCTGTGCTGTAAATGTCTATGTATCAAGCGAGCGAGTGGTGCTTTAATAAAAGGGCTGTTACAGGAAGGAATGTTTTTAGTATTTTGCCAACTAATCCGTACTAATCTGTTGCTGGAAAATCAGATTAATGCATTCAGTAACTGGAACGTGCCATTGTAACCTTGTAATCCCATTTCCCTGCCTTTTCTCCGTATCTCTTCATACCCTTCCTTCCCAAGAATCTAACAACCCTGAAGATGTACATTTGTTTTAAATGACAGATTTGGCTTTGAAGACTAGGAACTAGTCTAGTTATACCTGAAACTGTGGTATAACAAACATTGGTCTTTTGCTTCTTGGTATTAACAGTCGACACTAACTGTGAGATGGGGGTGGGGGTCAACAAGGTACTGGACATGGATTATCAAATCACATTCCGTATTTTACCATCTATATTCTAAAAGTTTGCAAAATCTGCTCTTTTTTTGGCAAAAAAAGTCTATTTTTATAACCCATAAACACAACTACAAATACAAGACCAGATTGGGGAATGGGTTCAAACAAACAAACAGAGAAACAAACAAATATACAGACGGATATTAATTACGCACTTGCCGATATCAAAACTGCAAAAAAGAACATGACTTCTTTAATTAACAATAACAATTCTAACAATTTGATATAGCGCCTAATCACGTCGTTGAGACGTCTCAAAGCGCTTCACGGGAATATACTGTCAAGCGGATTAATTGTCTGTGTATTGGTGGATGATAAAATGATCTTGCCTTACCGTTAGGAGTGAGAATAAATATTGATCTGTGGGAGAAATTGCTCACTTGCTGCGTTAGGTCCTCTGTTTCAAGTGTTGCCACAGATGTAACGTTGGGTTATGACTGTTGTTGATTGATGGCTGGTCAGTGGGGGGGGGGTAAATGCTGTTTTTGCCTGTTGCAAAGGTGAGACAGACGATGCTGATGAGCTCACATTAGCTGTTGTCTCCCCTCCCTGATTTCTACTCCCCTCCACTCCCTGGCTCTGGGCATTTGCTGCTGTTTATACTGGGTGCTGCTGAGGTATCATTTAACGCTTGGCTCTTCCCCACTGCCTGTTGTTATTCGATCCCTTTTATTCTGCATTTTACTCGGCTTTTGTGTGGCCACGAATTTTAGCTCCACTCTCTCGCTTTACCTCCCCCCCCACCCCCATCCCCATCCCCCTGGTGTCTATCTGTCCTAGCTCAATGCCTGTGCCTCCCCCGGAGTCGGGTATCCGCACAGACAGACACACACACACAGACAAGGACGCGGTTACCATAGCAGTTGGGAATGGTCGCGTTTTTAATGGGCTCCCAGGTGTAAAGCTCCAGCTCTGTGACCCTTGGTTGTTATGTTACCTGTTTAAACAGTTCCTCAACCAAGCCAAAGATATTAACCCCCTCCACACTCACACACACACACACACATACACTCACATATTGTTAATATGCAAAGCAGAGAGGACTATAGAACAATACACACGGTTAGTAACGAGGGTGAATCCATTTCTTCCCCTTCTCCACCTCTTAGTTCTTATCTGGTGTTATTTATATGACCTGGGTTCTCCTTGGGGGGGGGGCGGGGGGGAGAGCGGGTTAAAAGTGGGGTCTCCTCGGACCTGAGCTGGCTCCGAGATGACATGTTTGGCTGTGGAATGTCGGAATCGAGCCTGTGGCGGTCTCAATCGTTCGGTTTCTGAGCCAGGCAAGTCCGCAGTATTCCGGGGCGCTGCTGATGACAGCCAGCACAGCCAGGACTTGGTAACCCTGCAACGGGTAGGGTGGTCCTAGCTGGACAAGCAGCGGGAAACCTTGCCGGACAGTGCTTTCCACAGGGTTTTAGTTGGACTCCAGCAGTTACCCCCCCACACATCTGGGGTCCCCAAGCCTTGGCTCTTGCCAACCTGCGCCTAACACTTTCCGCAATTAATAATAACAATAATCCTTGCATTTGATATAGCGCTTCTCACGTCTTCTAGACGTCACAAAGCGCTTCACAGAATGGACTGTAAAGTGAATTGACCGTATATCTGTGGGCAAATTAAACAAGCAGGATGTTTCCCTCCATTTAAAACAATCCATCTCTGGAATTTCCATGTGTAGGCTGACGCAAGGAATTCTCAGTTTGTTTTGGATACTCTTTGAGAATGGTGATGGCTTTCCGCGTGGGTCAGACACCCACCGGCTGACCCCAAAAAACACAATCATCTCACGAATTATCCTCAGAAGGATAGTGTACAGGAGCTGTCTTGCATCACCTAATTACTGTCTCTTTCAAATCTAAAGGAACCCAGTAAAATGGCCTCATAGTTTGTCCACTATAAACAGTACCCTTTTTGAAGATATTTTTTTTCATTTGGAGCCCTTCTTTGACAGTTGGGTTAAATAATAAGCACATCATCACACAAACTCTCAAGGATACTTTGTGAACGCAATCCCTTTTTTTTTGGGGTGGGGGGGGGGAGCTTCCTGTGACGACCACCAAACTTTATTATTGTAATAATAATAATCCTTGCATCTTGTTTAGCACCTTATCACATCATCGAGGCGTCTCAAAAGCGCTTCACTGGAAATATACCGTACAGTGAAGTTTGCGGGCGAAGTGCGTCCCGCGAAACAGCGGTGGTTTGAGTGACCAATTTTTTTAAAAGAAAAGTGATTATTATTATTATCAAGAAGAAATCTAGAGTCTTGTATCCAGGAGTTTGGAGAGGGTGGGACTTTGGGATTGATTTGAATGTCATTTTAGGAAAAGAGGAATCCTTTGCCCCCTTTCTCCCCCCCCAAAAAAAACACAGAGAGTGACACACACAGACACAGCACTTGACTAAGTCTGAGCCCTTTGGCTGTGGGTGTGAGTGAGTGAGTGTGAGTGAGTGAGTGAGTGAGTGCTCTCTCCCCTCCCTCCCTCTCTCTCTCTCATTCCCAGTGGTGTGACGAGGCGAGTCTGCAGAGCTTATTGGCTGCAGATGGAGGAAAAGCCACGTTTATCCTTTTATGGAGTGAGTGAGAAGAAGGAATGACCGCATTCGCATCAGAGACCAAACCATTTGCGAAGCATCCGACTGGGAACCTGCAGTGCTGAGTGCTGCTCAGTCACTGAGAGGGACAACAACAGCAACAAACACCAGCCACTGATCCACAGGACAGACACACAGACAGACACAGACAGACACACAGACACACACACACAGACCAGACACACACACACACACAGACAGATCGAGAGAGTGCTTTTATTTGGTGTTGTGTGTTTTCTCTCTCTGTGGGATATGGGTTCACCCCAAAGCTGTTGATCGGTTCCCCTTCTCTGTGGCTCAGTTGAGTGAGTTCTCTGGGAAGCACAGCCCTGGGATTGCAGTCAATGGAGTCCCACTGTTACCCACAGACAGAACACCACCGATAGGAGTTCCTAATTAACGGGAGGCACCGCCTGGAGAGAGAGAGGGAGAGAGAGAGGGAGAGACCAACCAACCAACCAACCAACACTCCCACAACACGGTGCAAGTTCAAGCCAACGCCATGGTAAGTTTATACACACACACACACACACATTTTCTACTTAAAATCAGCAGCAAAACAACCAAAATCTGTCCCACTCCCCACTCCCACTCCCCACTCCCCACTGGAGACAGATGCTGTGGTACAAGACTTTTTAAGGCGCAGATTCCAGTGCAGTGGTGACTGGTTTAAGTTTACTTTAGTTATGCTTTTAATATAATGTGTGAGTGTGTGTGTGTGGTGTGTGTGTGTGTGTATATATGATTGATCCAAGCAGCGATCTTGCCAGTACGTGTGTGTGTAAAAAAAAACACCCACAACACACACACACACACACACACACATCCCACATTATATGTTTTTAAACATTTACACATATAACAGTCTTCTTCAATACGTTGTTGTTGTTGTGCAGTTTGTCAATTGCTGTTGAGTCTTGAGAGTGTGTATGTGTGTGTGTATGAGTGGGTGTGTGTGTATGTATGTGTGTGTGTGTGAGTGTATGTGTGTGTGTGAGTGTATGTGTATGTGTATGTGTGTGTGTAAATCTGTGATATTTCCACGTTCTCAGTCGCCAAACAAAAGGAATGAATCCACAGGTTGGAGTTGGTGGTTGTGTTAAGGCACAGATCGACCTGTGTCCAAACCCATACCGACAGCAGCTGAGATTTTTTTTTTGGGTGTGAATGCCTCGTTAAGTAAGATGCATAAATCAATCAATGCTGTTGATAATATGATGCTTTGGCGAGGAGTGTGTGTGTGTTGTATGTGTGTTGTATGTGTGTCCATACTCCTGTGTCCTTTCTGTACTGTGACTTTACTCAACTCGTCTTTACAACGTCCTGTGTTGCATCTCAACAAATGCAAGGATTATTATTATTATTATCAGTCGAACAAAAGACTGACTATATATATATATATATATATATTAAAAAAAAGCCCAAGGATTGTAACACGGTCACTTGAATTAAAAATGCTTGGTTTAAAGTATCACTGGACTTATTGGCGAACAATGTTGTGGAAATGGATGATCTGGAAACTGTTACAAACAGCAATTTGCATTGATTTAGATTCGACAGAACAAAATGAGGAACTTTTCCTTCCCCCAGTCAGAAGAAACAACGTTATTTTCCCAATAAAACGCGTTAGTTCTGTGAACCCAGGCTGGAGATGTTGAGAATTTGTGACTGCACAACACATGTAACGAACCCCAGTATTTATTTCCTGATAACCGGTTGCTTCAAGAGGAAAAAGGGCTGTGTGACGAGTTATCAGGAGTGATAATAATAATCCTTGCAATTGATATAGCGCTTTTCACGCCTTCGAGACGTCTCAAAGCGCTTCACAGAATATACTGTAAAATGAATTGATCGTATATTTGTGGGCGAAACAAGTGATGAGTTCGACGCGTGTATAAATACATAAGTAAATGTGTCCGGGATATTTGACAGCAGGATGACTTAATTTGATGACACGTTAAGACACGGTTGAGTTATCGGGAGTTTACTGTAAATACAGAAGTTGGGGTGGACAAATGATGGATTGTCAAAAATATACCAGCTATATATATATATATATAACTAATCTATAGGGCAGTCACAGGAGAGAGATTAGTGGGTAAAACACTGAAAACATCAGCACAGTGAGGGAACACGATTTTGGGGGTGTTATCACAGTAAGTGATACTGAATTTCTGCAGGATACTGATTTGCTCCACCGAGAGTGACGATTCTGGTCACAGTATTTCCGCAAGGACAGTTTGGCATAGGGAGGCAGGGAGTGTCCAACAACAACAACAACAACAACAACTGATTGTACTTACTATAGTGTCTTTCACGTCGGGAGGATGTCCCAAAGCGCTGGACAGTCAAGGGTTTGCACCCGAGCTTCACACACGCGCTCAGCTCCCATTAACCCTGCAAGCCAAAGCCCTAATGGGTAGGGGTGTCCTAGCTGCTCTCGGCAACCTGTACCTAATACTTTCCGGAATTAGCTTAGCAGAATGCATCCCTTCAGGGAGAGAGTGCGCATTCCAATAAATAACTCTGAAATTTCGATGTATGGGTGAAATACATGGAACTCTGTTTGGGTTGGATACTCTTAAGCTTGCTGATGGGTTTCTATGTGTCAGAGACCCAGCTGACCAAACAATAATAACAAACAATGATAATATTTTGGTCGCTCAATCCATAACTTTGTGGGACACGGCTGTGCGCAATTGGCTGCTGCATTTCGCTCACAAATTATACGGTCAATTCATTTTACAGTATATTCAGTGAAGAGCTTTGAGACATCTCGAAGACATGATAAGTCGCTATATCAAATGCAAGGATTATTATTTATATTATTATTATAAAATGCATTGGTTTACACAAAAAACATTGAATACGTGAAATCGATAGCCCAGGGAAGCGATGGAGGCAGATTGTGTCAATTATGTCAAGAGGAAATTAGATAGCGATTTAGTAAATCATTCCAATTGAGGGATACGAGTCGTATAAAATTCTTTTATTTTTCACCTTTTGGTGTGCAACGGATCTGCACATTCCTGAGTTCACATGCAACCCTGGGAGGAAATAGTCAAAATATTTCACAAGGTAAATTGTAACCGTCTGTCTGACCTTAAATTTTCAGTTATTTTGTTGGAATATTCTTTTTGTGTCTATCAGTAAACAGCAAAGTAGTGCTGGTTTACTGTATGTACTGTATAGCATGCACATTAGCCAGGGCTTAGCAGTGGCAGTATAGTATCTGTTTCTGAGTGATTTGCCTTGTGTGGAGTTATAATCGATCCCTACTCTTTGCATCACTCACTGCGATGCTGAAAGCCATGTTGGGCAATGTGCCCAACAGATTATTTTTTTCGTCAATTTCTTCTTCTCCCTTCTTTCCTGTTCTCCTTTCTTTCCAAGGAGGTGACTCATGGGATTTATGGTTCCAAGGGAATCCTTCAGTACCCTGTCCTGAGTGGACAATCAGCAGGTGTGTGTGTCGACAGCTCACTCGACCACAGAGGGAATCACAATTAAACCTGATCTTGTTCTTACCCAATGTCCACACTCACTCCCTATCCTTCAGGTGTCACTGGGTTGCAATCACGAGCAGCGTTCCTGAATGATTCCCTCCCCCTCCGCCCTGTGGTCCAGGAACAGTGAAGCTAACTCTAGCACCTGGATCCTGATCTATTGCCAAGGCTGAGATTAGTGGTTGTTATGAGCAGGGAATATGAGACCAGGTTCTCACTCCAAATTACTCTCCAATGGACTCTGGTGGTGTGTATGTGTGAGAGAGAGCGAGCTTTGGATTAGATCAGGGCTACGATGCAGTTTGTGCTCAAATAGCCTGTCAGCACTCAATAATGTGAGTAATGGTCATGTAAGCTAGTAATGAAAGGGCAATCGATAACATGGAGCCATACTCCAGCAGGAGGAAAATCGGGTTGGATGTCCTCTTGAAGGGAGGGGAGGGGAGGAAAGAAAAAAAAATAGACAAAACAAGCAGCTGAGCAATCATTGTGAGTTTTCACTGTGTGGACCAGCTCGGCTGTGGGTTTGTGATGGAAAGCAATGTGAGAAGCAGTGCAGTGATAAAGAGGTGTACATGGTAGACAGACATTAACGTTCTGTGAATCCGCCAGTCCAGAAAAATATACAATGAGTACACGTGAGCTGGTCAAAGGTGCCTTCAGTGCTAGAGTGACATCTTGCCCAGCTACAGAGAATCACATTGGAAAATGTTTTAAACGAGAACGTATGACGTCAAGGGATATTCCTTCCTGGCTTTATCTCTGTTTATTTTATTTGGTTTTATTGTGGGTGTCACCTTGGTAGCTGTCTTGTTTCTGGTTGTGAGTTCAAGCTCCACGCTGGGACTTTGAACTCACAGAGTGCTAGGCTGACACTCCAAAGCAGTGCTGGGAGTTCACTGAATTGTAGGAGGTGCTGTACTTCAGATGAGATGTTAAATCGGGGCATCATCTGCCCGTTGGAGAAGGGAGTTCGTCCCAAGTGTCCGGACTAACAATTCCCCCCCCAGATAACAATGATTATTTATTTCATGGCTGTTTGTGGGATGTTGCTGTGCGCAAATGGGTTTCTGTGTTTGCCTACGTAATACAAATACAAAATACAGTCACTGCACTTTGAACAAATCCTGTGATGCGCTTCAAGACATCCTGTCAACATGAAAGATGCTACACCAAATGCAAGAATTATTATTTTGTTTTTGTATCTTGTTTTAGAAAAATCCCGCCTGCTTTTTGTTCAGCATTAAAAACCTGTGAATGGTTTTGGCCTCATAAGCCAGCCTAATTTGTATTTAAAAAGATGAATTAATAAATAGCAGCTGGCTTCTCAATAGTAATCCTGCGGTTATGGCAAATTAAGTGTTTTTGATGTATTAAAAAAAAACCTTCCTAAGTAGTGCTGGTAATTTAGTACAGAATGGTGTTTCAGGTAGTTGGGGGAAGAGGTTTGAAGTGTGATTTACAGTGGTTTGGGATTTGGGTCAGTTTATTCTGTAGTCAGTCTTTCTTACAGATCAATAAATCCAATCTTATAACGTGAAAGTTCTCCACAGTTCCAACCCTTTAAAGCACAAGCTCTTGTGTTGCACGAAGCAGCAATGCTGAGCTTTTTAAGCTAAGCGTGTGCCGTTTTTCTTCTGTCTGGAAAGATAGACAATAGCATCAGTCATAGGCCTCATCCACCAGATGCAAAGTAGTAGGTCTGTAAAACAGCATCTGTTTCACATTAGGAGCAGCCCTTTCAAAGGTACATGTGCAGCAGGGCTCTCATTGAAAGAATCTGCTCTTCATTTGCAGTCCGTGCTGCAGGCTCAGTGAGGGTGAAGTCAGATGGTCTCTGTATGGCCTCATGACTGTGAACAGAAGGATGGCTGCACAGTCTCAGCTTCTGATCACTCTGAGTTACCTCCAGCCGTGGTCAATATTGCATTTTCTTTCTCTGCTGTGATCATTTTGGCTGCTTGTACATGTACGTGCGGTCAGACCAGCGTTTGGCCCA